GCCCATGACTCGCTACGGTACTCGCCGGGACTGATACTATGATGGAAACGAAATTCTACATGCAGAAAACTATATGTATCATTTCTCACAGACAGGGACGCTATTTCATTGAGCAGTCCAAGACTTTCAACAGTTGTTGTTCATTTTTATCAACAGTGTCTCGACAGACAGATGTTATCGCACTCAGTTCCTTCGCACGTTATCACATAACAAGGAAGTTCAACTTATATCACATATAAATGAAAGGACTACAGTTATTTCGGAACACATAATATAGGGAGAGAACAAATAAACAATAAAACGCATAGCATGGACAGGACATGGATTATTGGGAGATTATTTTAAAGAGCGAGTGTAACTATGTTACAGAGTGAAAGTGGGGATGATTGCAATGCTAGGCGTAAAGAATATTCACCTATAATATGTGAGTTTTAAAAATTGTTTATTATTTGTTGTCATTAGCTACATAAAGTAGCAGTTAGACTTGAGCATAAGAATCTATCACTAATAATCTATGTGTACATATTTCACTTGCGACAGAGTGTTACAATACAAGTTGCGACCAATGTAATGTGATCATTGCTCACAAGCATAAAGACATATCAGGTATTGAGTGTCATATGAAGTGTAACATTGCTTAAATGATTGATAAATGACAGACAAGCAATTTCTAGAGTTATGCTAGGAAAAGACTCTCAACACGCTCAGAAGAAATGCATAGACATAGAGTCAATAAGAGACAATTAACAAAAAAGGTATCGTTTACCGGAAGGATATGTATAGTTTCAGTCTATGCTGTCTACAGTCAGCTTAGGGATTTGGAATTGGGATTAGTCTTCCATATCACCACACATAATGAAATGTACAGCTAGGCTGAAAGAGGGAATGTGGGAGAATTATGTTGTATTCTATGGAATATCTCACGGGTTGTGATCTAAAACAAAGTTGTCATGGGACCAGTAAACGCACTACTAGGATTATTTGATAAAAAATGCAATAAATATATAAAATTTTAACACGTTGTTTTGCTATTTGTATATATATAATTGGTCAGTATAACAAAGAGAGACGTTTTCTTCACTATAAAGCCTGATATTATCTGAGAGACAATTATGACAATTAACATTCAAAAGGTTGAAACAACCATCTAACATATTGAAAAATAGATGATCATTGCCACGAGAATATAAGAGCCAACCATGAGATAAGTTATATACAAGATGGCAAATAGGTATGGTGCGTTCCAGAATTTAGTTTTCATTATGTCCATAAGGAAGATTTATTGGAGAGGATGTTTATAGTCTTCAGTAATTTATACCATAAAGAAGAAAAAGTAGATTTGAAGAGTTTTGCGAGCTATAGAACTATGTATGAGCCATTAAAAATAGCTGTTAATGGAGAGTATATTTTACTTTAACTATTAGGAAAGAAGGTACACAAGTTTAGTTTCGTCTCTGAAAAAATTTATTTGGGTTAAAATGTGATGTAGCTAAAAAATAGTGAGGATTGTAATTAGTTTTTGGGCAGAGAGTTGTAAATTTTTGGGTAAATGGAGACAATCGTTTTGTGTGAGTTTAGACGTCTACTTTATGTTCCAATTTCAATCTATAAATTTTGGGCTCTTATTAGGTTAACTCTACTAGAGAATATTTTTTAAGATAGGAGAAGAGACACTACTTGTAATGTTCGGCTTTATACTCAAGTTTTCGCTTGGTCTGCACGCTGTGGACGTTATTGCCCATATCACCAGTGCTGAGGTGGTGTATGAAGCCAGTCGTAAATATCTTAGTGTTCTTATTTTCATTCTACTGGTTCATTTAGATAATTATATTTTAATTTTTTTTATCGTGGTTATTATATTCTGGTGGATCGATCGTTCATATCTGGTGGATTCGATCGTCAATATCTAATATTTAATTATTGGAGGTATATATGGTAATAGTAATTTTATTTTATTTTTACCACCGGTATTTTTCTGCGGATCCACTCGGATCAGTTAGAATCCCAACAATTAAATAGTGCCATTTGGTATTTAATTTCTTAAGCAAAAAATTTTTACCCTTGGCATAAGTAAAAATTTTTTAACCTTGAGAAAAGAAAGCACCCATGGAATGAAATCAATGATAAAACTTTTTTTTATCCTCTCATGAAGGGTGATATGTATGAGGGATGATTATAAATTTATACTAATACCTTTATGATTTAAATAAATTTATATGATCTAAATAAATTTAAATAAATATCTTTTAAATTCACAGCTTACGCCTTTTGAACAAAAAAAAAACGATAACAAGATATATATTTTTGTATTTAAACAATTTTTTATTATCTAATTATTGGGGTGAACGATGTTGATTTGAATAGAAAATTATTTGAAATGTGCAGTTTTCAATCCGTGTTTATTGTCAGTGCATTCCATTCAAATGTATCTAAAAAGATCTTAACACTTGGATGGCTAAACGACAGCCAGGTATTCACTGCAGAAGTCAATTTGGCATCATCATGTTATAGTCCATTGGCAATTAACACATGGTCACTGAGTTTTACTTAACTTGTTCCAATTGGGTGCAAATCAATCATGTATTTAACTGTTTTTCCTTTTTGTTTTTTACTTATCAGCGAATTAGAAAAACATTAAAAATAATAATTCATAATTCATTATCTCAATTTTTAAATATTAATATAAATATCGTACCACCGAATATTATAAGTAATTAATATAATGTATTGATCAAGTCAAACCACTAAACCCCGTTTAAAAAATTATTTCTGAACAGGACGTTAACTGATGTGTAAACATTATATTTCCCCAAAATGGAGAAAATGGGAAGAAAAGCCTTTTTTTTTTTTTTTTTTGTGTAAACATTATATTTCCGCCAAAATGGAGAAATGGAAGAAAAGCCTTTTTTTTTTTTTTTTTGGCAATTTTTCTCAAGACGAAGAGGGAAAAAGAAGTTTAACCTGTTTTTTCTTGTTTCTTTCAACATACGTTTATACTTCTTATAGGCTGCATGGATCTCTTCGGCATTTTAAAAAAAAAAAAAGCAAAGAAAGTATAAAAAAAAAATTTTAAAAAAAAAGAAAAACAAAATGAAAAAAAAAAAAATAAAAATTAAATTAAACAAGAGAAAATTTAGAAAAAAAAAAAAAAAATTATTTAAAAAAATTAAAAAAAAATAAAAAAAAATAAAAAAAATAAAAAAATAAAAAAAAAAAAAAAAAAAAAAAGAAAAGAAAGTTAAAAAAAAAAAAAAAAGGAAAAAAGGTAGAAATTAAAAAAAATAAAAAAAAGTGAAAAGGTAAAAAACCTTTTTTTTTTTTTTTTTTGGCAATTTTTCTAAGACGAAGAAGGGAAAAAGAAGTTTACTGTTTTTTTCTTTTCTTTCAACGATACGTTTATACTTCTTATAGGCTGCCATGGATCTCTTCGCAGTAAGTAGGGTACAAAATCCAAACTCAAATTTTCACAACCACAAATTATTTTTAGATTTTAAATTCTCATATCGCTAAAATCCACGTGTCAGTTCCCGGTTATATATGTAGATTTTCAATTGCATAAAATTATTAAGTGAATGGAAAACATTAAATAGTTGATAATATATTTTATACTGGCAAAGGTGTAGAATTTAAGGAATATTTTTAATTGTGAGTAAGGTTGCATTTTAATAAAAAAAATTATATATTTAATTCTCACTTTTATTTTTTTTTTTTAACATTGTATAAATATTTGGATACTATATTAATTTAGGAAAAAAAAATTCAAGAAGACATTTGATAAAAGCTTTGCTAGTAATTTTAGTATATGCTATAGGAAGATTTTAAAACTATAATACTTTAAATGTAATTATGCAAAAAAAGAAAGTTAAAATTAATAATTAAATTAAATATTATAAAATATATAGTCATATGACTTTTGGAAAGAGGCCAGAACATAAAATTTGAATTATTTCATTTGAATTATTAATTATTTTTGTTTTTGTTCAAAAGCCTTTAATCATTGTATACTTTAAAAAAAATTCAGATTTTTCAATTATAGATTTGTAAATTATTGTTTTTCTTTTCATGTTTGGTAATTGATACTAACTATTTCTATTGTCAAATTTAATTGATTTCATATTTTATAACAGTGGATAATGGAGAGATATTTGAAAAGAAAATCTCTTTCTAATACTTTATCATAAAAAAAAAAAAAAAAGAATGAAAAAAAAAAAAAAAAAGAAATGAACATTCAAAAATGAGGTGTTGATCAATCAAAAAAAAAAAAAAAAAGAATGACATTCAAAAATGAGGTGTTGATCAATTCATTTGAAGCTAGTCTATTTAACAATATAAAATTAAAAATATTGACACATTGAAAAAGAAAATAAAAAATATAATTTTGAGATTGATAAAGTAATATTTTATTATTTATTATTTATGTATTGCCCGGAAAATTTTTTAAAATCTGTTCGCTAATTCAAATATAGATGCTAATCTAATTAAAAAAATTGATTATTTAATTATTATTATCTCAACTCAACGGCCAAAACTAGATCTATGCATGTTTGTTTTGCATTGGAAAATGCAAATTACTGATATTAAATTAGAAAAATGAAAGCTGACCTAAAATCTACATTTTCCATACTAAAAAATCTATCAACTCTATTATTATAAAGTACAAGCACACCCACGGGACTAGCTAATCCGCAGGTCACGATTCTCTGTTCAAATGGAGACCCAACAAGCCACAAATTTTTTTTAATATATTAATAAAAATCAAAAATAAAAAAAATCAACAGACAATCACTCAATCAGGGATTGCCATTTTCCCTTTGTTCTTTGAAAAACCGCAGACAGATTGCCATTGAAGAAATTATAAAAAGGAAAGCCTTTACCTTCGGAATTTGGATTCATCTGTGTAACAGAAGAAAGAAACCAGACGAAACACGTCTCTTGTCTCTTTCCCTGTCTTTATTTCCACCTCTTCCTTTTTAAATACCCATTTTTTTCTCTTCACTAGTACATCACCTTATCAATCTCACTCTGTCTGTTCTCTCGTTTCCGGGTCGCCTCATAACATCGACCGAGTTGACGCGGTTCTTTCTTTTTTCCCTTTTCTTACCCGAGTTGTCTCCACCATGAATGATGGCGTGGATCGCTCTCGCGCATTTGTCAAAGATGTTAAGCGTATTGTTATGAAGGTCTTTCTCTTTTTTGTTCTTTGCATTTCATTATTTGTGGGTGAAATAATCTAAAAAGATTTGTTTTTGGAGCTTTTTGGCATTAGGAATTGACATTACCTTGGAGGGAGGGATTTTGTTATTGCATGTCCTTTTCAATGCATTGTCAGGGCGAAAAGTATATCTATTATGTTTTCTTTTTATGAAAAATTTTGGATGATTTAAATATTTTTAGAGAATGAGAATCTTAGATTCATTTGTTTGTTTTCTACTTTTGTTTCAAATGTTGGATTGGAAATGAATTTTACAATTGAGAGAAGAAAGTTTAGTTTTTTATACATTTACTGAGTTTGTGGTTCGGTTATCTAAGGTTGGGACCGCTGTTGTGACAAGAAGCGATGGGAGATTGGCGCTCGGGAGATTAGGTGCTCTTTGTGAGCAGGTAACGTTAATGGATTTTTTCCTATGCTTGAGGATTCTTTGAAGTGATAAAATTATGATATTTTCTCTATTTTTTGAATTGCAGATCAAAGAGTTAAACACTCAAGGCTATGATATTATTGTGGTGTCATCTGGAGCTGTTGGCATTGGTCGCCAGAGGCTTCGATACCGGAGATTAGTTAATAGCAGGTTCTTTCTTTTCCTCTGTTTTGTTTGATACTTGGTAGCATAATAAGGTTTTAATCATTTTTGGTATGACTACCAGGCCTTATTTAAGGAACCATGTACATGTTTCGTTTTGTATTTTTAATGGTGAAAATTGAGGCTTGGGTGGGTGGGGGAGGGAGCAGATTTGGTTCTATTATTCCGTTAAAAAGTGCTTGAATATTGATTGGAACATTGTTCCTTTGTGACATATTTTAAGCTAGCTGAACTGACTTTATACTTTAAATGCTTTATGTAAAACGCAGCTTTGCTGATCTCCAAAAACCACAAGTTGAACTTGATGGAAAGGCATGTGCAGCTGTTGGACAAAACAGTCTCATGGCTCTTTATGATACATTATTTAGTCAGGTGCCTTTCATTATTTGTTTTTTAGCTGAACCAAAATTGAACTTTTCTTCTTTGTTTTTACTTTTGAGAATATTACATATATATTTGTCTATCCTTTAAAAGGATTTTTATTTTTCATTTCATATTTTGTTCAGCAATTCATGTCCTGTTTACATATTTTGTTTGATGCAGCTGGATGTGACATCAGCACAGCTCCTTGTGACCGATAGTGATTTCAGAGATAAAGATTTTAGAAAGCAACTTAATGATACCGTGGAATCACTCATAAATCTGAGAGTTGTTCCTATATTTAATGAAAATGATGCGGTCAGTACCAGGAAAGCTCCATATGAGGTTTGTAGATGTGGGCTGCCCTATTTCACTAGAAAATCCAATGTTCAAGTCAATGATCAAGTTAAGAAAGACCAGACATAGTACTTGGGCGAATTTTCATGGTGACCTTATGGTCCTAAAAGTTTCAGATATTTATTTATTTATTTGGTACAAAAGGTTCTAACTATTATCATGTCTAAAGCATATCGTGTAAAAGCTTGTAGTAAAATCTTTCTTTTGAGACTCAAGTTGATAATATGTTGAAACCTATTTCAACTTAATCCCTCTAAACTTTTTTGGGGTCATTAACAATATGAAATGTCCTTATCTTTGTGTACTTTTTCAATATCTTATATAATTCGTTTTATGAATTCCTTCTTTTTCAATCTGATACCTATATTCAATTGCAATCCAAACAATTTCCTTGTCTTCTGATCATGATAAATCGTGCAGGATTCTTCGGGTATTTTTTGGGATAATGACAGTCTATCAGCTTTGCTTGCTTTAGAGCTAAAAGCTGATCTTCTTATCCTCTTGAGTGATGTTGAGGGTCTTTACAGTGGCCCTCCAAGTGACCCACGCTCAAAGCTGATCCATACATACGTTAAGGAGAAACATCAGGGAGAAATTACTTTTGGTGATAAGTCCAGGGTGGGAAGAGGGGGCATGACAGCCAAAGTAAAAGCTGCTGTCAATGCAGCTTATGCTGGCATCCCTGTTGTCATAACCAGGTATGCTTCTATTCTTATTGCCATGCAGGTTCAGGGTAAAGCAGTTTTGTTTTGAATTTGTTTATATCATAACAACCTTTTCTCCTATGTTTAATCTTATTAAAAAGTACATTGGTATTTGGTTGCAATTAAAATATTCCCTGTCATTACTATGACATGTAATCTTCAATATAAGCAACGATGTCTTAGTTTCAGTAGTTTCCACACTTCTTCTTGAGTTGTTTTAACTGATTGTTATGTGGCTACTTATTTTTGCTCTCAACCATGTTATGTGGGTGTTCTGCAAAGGAAAAAGAAATGGAATAAGATATTTTTCCCATCACTTTTCTCCTTTTTAAAAAGAAAGCCAATGAATGTTTTCATTTTGGAAGTTTGTGGCGTTTTCTAGGTTAATCTAATTGTTTGAGTTGTTTGTACATTTGATACTGGATTGAAATGAGTTCTTTCTTTGGGCATGCAATGATTTATTGGTTATCTCTTTAAAGTGGGTATGCTCCGGAGAACATAACTAAAGTCCTTCAAGGAGAGCGTGTTGGAACTCTCTTTCATCAAGATGCACATTTATGGACCCCATTTAAAGAAGTTAGTGCGCGGAAGATGGCAGTTGCTGCACGGGAGAGCTCCAGACGGCTTCAGGTAACATAAATAGATGCATAATTTAGGGATATACCGACGTAAAATGTTTAAAATCCTTTGTTTCTTTTGAAAATGGAGGTGTTCTCTTGCTCCATGATTTTAGCATACGTATTTGTTTTCTTCCAGCAGCATAATAAAGATAGAATCTTGCTCTGTAGGCATTGACTTCTCAAGAGAGGAAAAAGATTTTGCTGGACATAGCTGATGCTTTAGAAGCCAATGAAAAGCTGATCATTATTGAAAATGAAGCTGATGTTGATGCTGCACAGATAGCTGGATTAGAAACATCCTTGGTTGCTCGACTAGCTTTAAAGCCTGGAAAGGCAAGACACTGCTGGATTTAATTTGAATAATTTATACATTTATTTATTTTTAATTACTCCTATTACTTGTGGTTGCTGTCCAAGTTTATTTATTTCCAATAACTGTTGTTATTTTTTTTTATAAATAATCTGGTTGTTTTTATGTCTTTGTTTTTTCTTTTTGTGTTTGTATAACATCTATTGACAATGACAGATTAAAAGTCTGGCAAACTCTATTCGTGTGCTTGCAAACATGGAAGATCCAATTGGTCAAGTTTTGAAAAGAACTGAGGTAATCATTTATATTCTTCTGGTTCATGACTTTAGGGATCTCCATTCAGGCTTTAAGTTTTTCGACACACTCAAATAATGGCCAAACCATATTTATGTTTTCTCTAAAAATGCTAAGATGATTTCTTAGAAATGAAAATAACGCAAGCTAAGCCTTGTATGAAGAACTTATTCGTCAGTATGCTATTGCAAAATAAAATTCTATTGTGAGGTATGAATTGCATTTAATTGTGGACAAATTTCATAAAGTTTTCTACAATAATATGTTTTCTTGTTCTTTTGCTTATTATTTTATGATTGTAATTTTTCATGTATCCAGCTGGCAGATGGACTCCTGTTAGAGAAGACATCATCTCCTTTAGGTGTTCTTCTGATTATTTTTGAGTCTCGACCAGATGCACTGGTTCAGGTAGATAAGATTACATATTTTATACCACTTGCTTTAGCTAATATGGTCTGGTTAATATGGATGCATTTGTATGTTTTATTATCATGTAGCCAGTTGAACTCCCTTGGTTTATAATATTTTGGATATGGGTCAAACATAGGTTAAAGTGAGCCTAACGGCGGCCCTATATAACTGCTGCCCATTTCAAAGAAGACTTGCATTATCATTGTCATTTTCTGTCTTAAATGCATGGACTTTTGCGTGCATATGCAGGCGATAGTATCTGCCTGCGTGCTGTTATAGGCGGTAGTATCTGCCTATGAACAAAGTATCAATACATGTTTGAAAAATGGGTTACAAATTTGAGAACGTCAATTCGAAGATCTATATTCTTCATACCGACAAATTAAAGAGTTACTTCTTCATTGTCCAAAGTCCTTATCTCTTGTTGATTGAAATTAGAAGAACGTGTAGGTGGATGTGTTGTGTGTTTTCACTGTAAGCTTTTTGTTTTATATTTCTTCTTACCTTGAACTTGCTATTATTTGAATAGATAGCTTCTTTGGCTATTCGAAGTGGGAATGGGCTACTCTTGAAAGGAGGAAAGGAGGCCAAGCGGTCAAATGAAATTTTGCACAAGGTTTGGTGCTTTTATGATTAGCGTTTTTGTAACAATTATACTTAGAAAAAGAAAAGCTTAATCAAAATCGTCAAATCATATAAAAAAATTTTTCTTTGTAAAATTTACAGGTCATCACTGCAGCCATCCCTGAAACTGTTGGTGGAAGACTTATTGGACTCGTGACATCAAGAGATGAAATTCCGGATCTGCTCAAGGTGGGTAGTCTTGTGAGACAAAAGTCAACTAAATGGCAATCTGTGTGAACATTGAGAATTACAATTGATACTTGTAAACTAAAATTACAAGCTGAATTTTATTTTCCTTTGTGCATCAGCATGATGATGTAATTGATCTTGTGATTCCAAGAGGCAGCAATGCACTTGTTTCTCAAATCAAGGCATCAACTAAAATTCCTGTTCTGGGTCATGCTGGTGAGTTTGGTCATGTTTCACAACTTATTTATTCAATATGCATGGTCTATACTAGTAATATTCTAGATTCTGTGGTAAAGCTGTATTTTACTGCTCAGATGGAATTTGTCATGTATATGTTGATAAATCTGCTAATATGGAAATGGCAAAGCGCATTGTTCTTGATGCAAAAGTAGATTATCCTGCAGCCTGCAATGCAATGGTATTTCTGGAACCATTTATTTTTATTTATTCATTATGGTTCTATTCTTTAAAACTTGCATGAGTTTTGTGTATATCCAAATCCACATTTGTCAGTTCCCTTTGTTTGTTCATGACTTGCACAATTCTTTTGTGGTGCTCTTTTGCCATGTGCAGGAAACACTTCTTGTGCACAAGGATTTGGTGCATGCTGATGGATTCAATGAAATCACAGTTGAACTTCGCACCGAAGGTAGGGAATTCCCCTTGTGAGCTATACCACATCTTGATGATGTTACTTTCCGAATATTCTGAGTGTTGTTCTTTATCTTATCCAATCAACATCAAATTGAAAAAAATCAATTTACCTTGTTCATTTTCATATGGTATCAAAAGCTTTGGAATGGTTCAACACACGCTTCTAGAATGTATGAAGGATCTGTGAATGGCTAACTCATGCTTCCTTTCAGGTGTTAATTTGTATGGTGGACCAAGGGCAAGCAAGGAGATGAACCTACCAGAAGCATATTCATTTCATCACGAGTATAATTCTATGGCTTGCACAATTGAAATTGTTGATGATGTGTATGCAGCCATTGATCATATACATCAACATGGAAGGCATGTTTGCGCCCTTTTCTGAGCAATAGCAATTGCAGATATTTCTTAATTTTCATAGCTCTTTGAAAATTTATCTGGAGATGCTCATATTGTTTTATACTCTTATTGACAGTGCGCATACTGATTGTATTATAGCTGAAGATCATGAAGTTGCAGAAGTTTTTCTACATCAAGTTGACAGGTAAGAATGACTGCCATTTGACATCATCTCTGTATTAGTTTCTGTCTCCTACAATTATCTCTGTACTCAATTGACCATAATTTAGTTCATGTAAATGGGTTAGGTGAAATGATGCTTGTAAATTTTTATTTGCAGTGCTGCAGTTTTTCATAATGCAAGCACAAGATTCTCTGATGGGGCTCGATTTGGCTTAGGTGCTGAGGTAAAATATGGTTTCACAATTATTTTGAGAATCAATTGAATTATTCATGGTGCTCATAGTTGATTTCTATTTGATGGATGAATAGGTTGGAATAAGCACAGGTAGAATTCATGCTCGTGGTCCTGTTGGAGTTGAAGGATTGTTAACTACAAGATGGTATGAATATGCTTATGACATACGTATCTATAGCTTATGACTTAGATATACAGCTAGCCACCCCTTTTTCCTTTAGGGTTTGAGATCACATAGAAATTCATTTTTAGATTCATCTATAAGTTAAAATTTATACTATCTAGAAGGGCATCTGCAAGTTTTTGTAATATTTTCTTGATGAAGTTTTTGTTTGTTATTCTGAAAAACAGCCATTAACTTCAATTTCTATTTTGAAACGAGGATCATCCTAACACTTTTCTAATATCAAATGCAGGATTCTAAGAGGAAGTGGGCAGGTAGTGGATGGTGATAAAGGGGTCATATATACCCACAAGGATGTAACCCATCAAGCGAACGGGTATGCGCCTCACTCACACAAAAAAGAAGGCAAATGAAGAGTTCGTACCGCGCTTGAAAAATAAAAACATGTTCTTAGTATTCTACGACAATGGTGATGCTGCCTTCTTTATTATCGGCCATCGCATCTCATCGTGTTATATCATAGTGTTATTTAATGTTTTGCATCCTCTTATTACTATGTAATCCTACTTTAGGCAGGTCATAAATCCATCTCATTTCTTGACCTGATGAGTGATGAGTATTAGTAAACTGCAGATTATGATAAAGTTTGTAGCATTTAGGTAGTATGTGTACAACTGAGAAATGTAATCCATTTTCCTAAAATTATGAGGTGATTTTTTAGTTATTTTTTACTGTATTTTTTGTTGGAGTAAGTGGTCTGATGAGTTAGAATACAAGGGTAAAAATATTATTTACTTAACCCAGTACGTAATTCCATGGTGCTATCAGTAACTAGGAAGGAAATGTTCTCCAGATTCTAAAGCATTGCCCTTTTCATAAGACCTTCAAGAAATAATCCTTTGTTTACTTTTATATGTTATTTTGAGGTTTTTGCATGAAGTGGGTAAATTGTTTATAATTTGATTAAATTATCTTTTATTTTATTTAATTGTTTGAATTTTAAGAATTATCTTTTCATTAATCTGTAAAAGATAAAAATAGAGCATTCTATGTTTAATGCAACATGAAAATACAATTAGACATTAAATCAATCACCTGATTATGAAAATTTATTCTTTTTATAGTGCAACAAAAGTTTTGGTCTGTTGGGTAAAATTAATTTATGTTTATGTGTGTCTGAGTAATGGAAATTAACAAGAATTAGGATCTGCAAGCCCAAGTGAAGAGATGAGCTTAAAAAAAAAAAAAAAGATAAAGCTAATAAAAATTATCCAAACATATGGGTCTTGAGTAATATTTTATTTTGTTTTTAGGATTTCTTAGCTCATAAATACTTAAGTTTTCGGTATTGTTAGTGAAATAAAAAGATTTAGGTTTTTCCATTTTATTCTATCAAATTCGAGTGAGGTGAATTTTCTTTGATTCTTCGTTAAATTTGCTTTCGAACTTATCAAAATAATTAATTTTTGTAACATTCAATTTTCCATCTTGATACATTTGGTTCATACCTCTAATTAAGTTTAGGTCAGAATCTGTTATTCCTTCCGAGAATAAATTTTTAATTTGAAAATTAGGGTTTTAATTTGAGATTTAGGATTTCATATAATAAATTTACTTTTGCAATGTCAAGGCGCAATTCTTAAGGTTGTGATCGTTTAGGACTTCTGTAGATATTATGTGTCCTAGTAGCTTTTAGTTTTTCTTACAACCTAAGTGTACCTTCAACTACTAATCCTTTTTTTTTTTTTTGAACTCAACTATTAACAATTCAAATTATATATTTTGTCTTGGCTTTCTGAAAATTTCTACCATTTTATTTTTTCAAAATGTTCACAAGTTTTAATTTTGCTAGGAAGAAAATGTGGATGAAAGGAAACATTTTGGTCAATTTATAAATTTCTACATAAGAAGGGTAAAGATTTTTTTTTTTTTCTTTTCCAAAATAATTAACTATTCAACCCGTGAAGACTGCAAAAGCAATGCATTTTCAGCTTTCACCAACGCCTAAAATAAATCACGCATGCACCAAAGCCACTGGCAAAGGACAAACCTTTGACCAAAATTTCCTTCAAAAGCTAGCTGTGTACTGCGGCAGGTTTTCAGTAGCTTTCAGTGTTTATTTTTTTTATGGTATTTAATAATGTAATATTTGAATTAGCTTGTAAATATTAAGATATATGATACAAAAATTAATCTGTAATATTTAGCTTTTAGCGTTTTATGAAAGTGTATTTTAACAGCTACTAGTTACTCAACAGTTAAACACCACCAAAACAGCAAAGCTAATGTTGTCGATCAGAACTTTAATATATAATGTTTTTTAAGTGAATTTGTTACTGTGTCAGCCACACTGAATCTTAATTTCTCTTGAAAATTCTTTCTAATCTTCACATTGTTTTTGGAAATAGTTTTGGAAATTGTATTATGATTGTTATAAGCCCCGTTTAAGCATGAAAATGAAAGAGAGATGTCTTAAAATTAGTTTAATAAAAGTAATTAAGATAAAATTTCAAATGTATTAGTGTAATTCATATATATGTAGAATACATAGAGCAGTTGATTTACAAAGAGCTATTAATTCCAAAATTAGAAACAACGATTGACCCACAAATTGCAATATTAAGCTTATACAAAGAAAATTTGTCAGGACTCCTTCAGGATTCCACATCACAATATTTATGTGTGGTGTGGTTCTTTCAGTGTTGTGGTGCGTGGAGCTAATCCTTCGAGATTTCACATTACTTGTAAAGAATGTACGAGATATATGAATTGCTATGTTCTGTCAAAATTGCTATAGTTTCCTTCGAGATTCCACATTGCTTGTGAAGTATGCAGGAGATATATGAATTAGCATGTTCTGTCAAAATTGCTAGTTTTGATGAAAAACTTGTACTGTTTTTTTTTTTTTATACGTTTTTCCAAGAATTAATAAGGCATAGATATGGATGGTATATGGCGAATCTTGTCGAAATCCTCCCCTTCTTCTCCATCGATAACTTGAATCCTGTTCTTAAATTCTTCTGGCATCCAAAAGATTTGCAGTTGTTGTAAAGTAGTGATAGACTTCAATCCTTGAGGTAGCATTTTCAATTTCTGAACTCTTATTATACATAAAGTCTCTAGACATTTCATTGCATTTTCCTCTACTATCCATTCTTCTACTTCCTTCAACCGACGAATATGAAGTCTTTCGAGTTGAGGGAATCCATTGGCAGAACAAACCAGTTTAGACCCTTGATATGAATCTTCATCTAATGCCAGAAATCTTAAATTAGGCAGCTTTTCTAGTATAACCATTGGATCCTGCTTTAACTTGGAACCGAACAATCCTAATTTGGAAAGACTTGCTGGTAGAAATTCCAAGTTATGATGGAGAGAATTTGAGTCTTCTAGTATATGTCCATATAACTTTGCTTTAATTAGCTTCTGGCAACTAGAAAGTGGTTCTAAACTTGGAAATAAACCTCCTGGTAACATCAACATTTTCAAGGAGCGAAGACGACCTGATGCGAAGATAAGAGAGTTTAGAATTAAATCTGCTTCCTCTATTTTCTCAAATTCAATTCCTATGTTTCTAATATTGTTCAATTTGGACATTGCATCTCTTCTTATCAGATTCTTTGCTTTTATCCACTTCAAAGTCTCAAGTTCTGTTAACGTGTCCAGTCTAAACCTTCTTGCAACTGTTCTGTCTACTAACAAATGCCTTAAACTTTCTAATTTCCAGAATACATTAGGGAAGCTTATCCAATAATTATCTCTCACATCAAGAGTGTATAAATTCTTCAAATCACCTATTGACCATGGCAATAGTCCTCGTAGTTCAGTTTCTCGTAATCCGAGATATCTCAAGTGAATCATATTACCAATTTCTTGAGGGAGGTATATTACAATTAGCTTCTGCAGATTCAATACTCGTAGTAGTCTAAAATTCTTGAAAACAAAATCTTTTTGCTGCTTTGTCATTAAGATGTAGTCATTATTTCTAATGAAGTAATAAAGAGAACAAACACCTTCCAACATTGGTATATATGAAATTGCAATATCAATTTGTCGGTCTGCACTAAGATGAGCAGCAACTCTTCGTGTTGTTAACTGCAAATTCTGATTAGTACCAGGATAATCCGAAACATGGCGTCTAATGACACCAAGAAAATTCTCTTCTCTTGCCTTTGACAAGCACATATCTCTAATAAGATCATGAATGTGACAAGATTTTATACTTACTTTAGTGTATTTCATTTCGTGTACTTGAACTATGCACCTACTAACTAGTTCTTCTAAATATTGTTCTGCTACATCTTCTATTGTCTCATCTTCTTCTCCATCTAATGGTTTTGACACAAAACCTTCTGCAATCCAATTCCTAATTAATGTTGTTTTATGAATATGCTTTTTCTCAGGAAACTGAGAAAGATAAAGAAAGCATGGCTTTAAGCGAAATGGTAAATCATGGTAACTCATGTATAATATGGCATGCACTCCATGGTGTGACTTGCTGATTTCTAGTTCCAATTTTCTTTGCACAGCCTCCCATTCCTCTAGCGACTTCTTTGTTGCCAATAAGCCTCCAAGTAAAACAATAGCTAGAGGCAATCCTTGACAATGTTTCACCATCTCCTTTCCAAGCTTTTCAAACTCTGGCAAGAAACTATGCTGTTCAAGAATATTTGCTGCGAACACTTTACTGCAGAAAAGTTTCCAGCTTTCATCATCTGTCAAAAATGGTAGCTCAATTGGAGAAATCACATAAAGATCAGTATGCATAGCAACTTCTTTGTTACGTGTGGTGAATAAAATTTTGCTCCCTATACTTCCATTAGGTAAAGCAGATTTCAAACTATGTAAAGTCTCAATTTCATCAATATCATCAATAACTACCAAGTACCTCTTCTGTTTTAAAACACTGTAGACCTTAAAAATTAAGTCTTTCTCTTTTTCAGCCATGTTCACAGGAGAGCCAACCTGAGTCAAGACTTCATATAAAGCATCCTTTAATGAAAATTCTTGCGAAATGACAATCCAAGCATGACTATCAAAATGTTTCTTAACAGCAACAGAATTGTAAATTTTCTTTGCAAGAGTTGTCTTACCAATTCCTCCTAGGCCAAAAATAGAAATAATACTCACTTGTGCTTCTTCCTTAAACAATTTGCTCATCAATTCCCAAGTAGTGATCTCCAACTTCACAACAACATCTTCTCCCTCAAAATGTGGATGTGATCTTCTCAGATGGGTAGAACTCGTCCCGACTTCTTCACAAATAGATTTGATTCCATAAGCTTGAAGGTTATTGGTAACATCCCAAATCCTAATATGGAGTGATTTGATTTGTTTTTCCATTTCGTGGAGATGATAATATCTGGTGAATATAGAGGCAAGTTTATTGATGAATGAAGCAATTCCAACACCTTTACCAACACTATTAACGAGAAAAGTATCAACAGCATCCTCAGCTTCATAAACGACATTTCTAATTTCAGCTACCCAATTGCGAATGCACTCATCCTTTTCTTGCTTGAAGTCTGCATCTTTCAAGAAAAGCTGCATTTCCTTAAGTTCAAGTTGCAACTGCGAAACTTCATCTTCCAAACCATGAAGAAAACCTGCCTCATGGATGAGGACGTTAGAAATTCTCTCAATGGCAAGACAAACAATGGCCTCAGCCATTTTTTTTCCTTAGTTATAACAAACGGAAGGAACTGAGAAGTTTCTTTGATTGAGAGGATAGTTATTAATATTCATGAAGAGAAAAATAATTATTATTGTTTCTTGTATTTTGGAAGAAGTTTATAAAGAACACCTAAATATGGAAAATTTCTTTCTTTAAAATGACTGGTTAAGTTTACAGCCTTAAAAAGGCAAACAATTCTTTTTTAGAAGCTAAGATAAACGTTAGCAAGTGAAAAAATTTCTACAAAATGAATGGTTAAATTGAAATGACAATATTTCAAGTATTGAATGCCAATAATATTGCAATCCCACAGCCATAAGATTGATTTGCCTAATCTTCCAATGGATAGCTCAAAACTTAAGGTCTAGAATCGATGCTTAATAAATAAATTAAATAGCAAGAATTGAACTAAGATTATATTATTTTCAATGAATGGCTGTTTATATATATAATTTTTATCAGTTAATTATCGATTATTCGGAAAAACGAATATTATCAATGTGAAAAGTTGACTGTTTGATACTGCTATTCTTCTTCCTCAGCAAGATGGCGATTGCTGAGCGTTTTTCTAACTTGACCTGTTCATGCGGACCATTTTTTGAAGAACATGACCTGTGACTATTTCTTGAATTCTGTTATTCCCGTTTTAATCCCTTCCTTATCCCAAATTGGTTCTCATTTTCAGTGATGTTATAAATATTTACCAAGAATTTTAACCCTCTCTCTTGTCCAAAATATTTATGTGGTTGTTTGTTAGGGATATATAACTAGAAACCTTCGATTCCCATTCAAAATTCTAGAAATTTGTCTGAATTATAATTATGATAGTGTAATTATAGTATTTAATTTTTCTCCAATATCTCAAAACTATATACTAAATTAGACTATTAATCAACCATCAAAAAGCATCTCTCTTGATTTAATAAGATCATCAAATCAGTGAAATATATTGTATGGATTAGTAGATAATTTTAATATATAATTTGACATGAAAAATATGCCATGAATTAGTTAAAATGAAAGGTTGATGAATACACAATATGGATCACTTAAAATACAAAGTTGGTGATTTTTTACATGTCAAAGTCCTGTAAATAGTGATAAAACTATTCCTAATCTTGTATATTGTGCAAGTTCAATAGAACATATAGTGCTCAAAAGGATATTATAAACTATAAATTATAAAAAAATTCATCTCGTATTTAAAAAAAAAAATGATTGAATCAAACTATAAAAACATTTATGGAATTAATTTTTTCAATATGTTTTAGATTAGATAGGAAGAAAGAAGTTTTTTAGTCAAATTACATGTTTTTTATTCGTAAATGAGATTATAAACTTTGAGTAATGTTCACTCACCTATCATAATTAACAACTAGAAAGTTTCATTTTTATAACCAAATACCTTAAAAGTTTTAATCAAAGTTTAATTTAATGTTTAACATATTAATCCCTAAAAATAAATAATAAAAAAAGCATCAGTGTCTAAAGTCCATCGGTAGGAAAATTTTAACTAAAATTAAAAAAAACAAAAATAAAGCTATCTATCTTTAAAAGTTTAGTTTTGATATTATTATTCTGTTTGTTAATTTGAAATGATATCATTATATCTATTTTAGGCTCCATTCGGTAAACTAATTGTTTCAGTGGCATTTCATTAAATTTTAATTTAGTTTTACTAGCATTTCATCAAATGATAAAAGAGAGTAGTCATCGAACATTGAAAAATCCATTATATCCTCAACAAATGTTATAATTTTTTTTCACTTAGTCAAATAAATAGGCAAAATATCAGACTCCTTCCGTCCAATATATATAGGCTCTCCATCCAATATATATAGGCTCGCTTTCCTTTTTCGTCTGTCTCAAAATGTAATCCTATTTCATTTTTTTAAAGATCATTTATTATGTAATTTCTTAATGTACCACTATTTAATGTACATCTTTATTCCTAATTGTACATATATCATTTAATATTATAAAGAGTTAGTTTTGGAAAATGCTAAACAAAAAATATAATTTAACTACATTATCTAGTTTTTCTTAATCTATGTAAAACTAAAACTAAGCCTATACATATGAGAGGGAGGGAATATCATTTAGCCTCCCTCAGCTTTTATATTTTGTATGATGTTGAGCATGAAACGATGTCATGTACACCCAAAAGAATGTAACTTTAAAGTACTAAAGAAAAAGAAAAAGAACAGAAAGAAAAAGAAAAGATGAGAGCAATTAGTGGTATCACTTTTTTATAATTTCTCAAAGATTAAACAGGACAACATCAGCTTCTGCATTAACACATAAACATTATCCTACTACAAAAATTAACAAAACTTAAGCAAACAAAGAAAGTTTTTAGAAACTTAATAGTAATACTTAGGAGAATACTTATGCGAGACAATGTATAAATGCAATACTATCCAAAATTCATTTGTAACTGTAACACCTACAAAAAGATATATATTCTTGGTATTCAATGAACTTCTCTCAAGAGAATTGCATACACTTCACAAAGAGAGTAGAACTACTATGAAATCGTCAAAGTATTCTAGCAGTTGAATTCTACAAAGCAAAGAAAAAAAATTGTAGAAATAAATGTTCATGCTTCAATAAAAGTCTTGAGGTTCTTCAACCAACCCATGAATTCCCGACTGTCTTTGTTAATCATATACTCGTGGAGGAAATTGGTTGTGCTGGGCTTTATTCCCCTAATCTCCAGGTACTTGTGAAGAGCATTCTTTAATTTCTCATCCAAATTGCTGCAAATTATGAAAAAAGAAACTTATATTACCAAATTAATCAAGGTAAACCATCATTAATAGCTAATAGAGAAGCAACAGCAGCTTACTGGAAGTTAGGCCCCTCATAGGCAATTTGATCTTCAGAAGTTTCTGGATTTTTAACCGAGAAGCTATCAATTGCAATCTCATCAGGGTAAGCAACGCATCCAAATTCAAGAGAAGTTCCACTTCGTTTAGAGACAGTAACAATTAATGGGAGGCTAGATCGAGTTGGTTTCTCAATATCATCAGTGTCATTGTCAATCTCATTATCTTCCCCTGTAACAAGATCAGGCATGTGAACTTCAACCTTCACAAGTTCACCTTCATATTGTCTTGTTAGAATTACACTTTGTTGCCCTGGATTATCATCAATCTTGAAAGGGAAATCTTTTGGAATCTCTTCAACCTATCAAGCACAAAACAAAACATATAGTATGAATGATTACAAAAGCGGCACTTTATCAAAAAGCCACATGCAATCAAATTGGCAATAGGTTTAAAAATGCTTCTATGAGAATGAAACTATGCTCTTTCATCAGATAAGCAAAATCAAATAAAAAATCAAAACTATTACATAAATTAAACATGAGAAATTCATAAATGAATTCTATTATGATGTGCACCGGTTACAAGACAGTTTTTTCTCTTCTTACCCTCTAAATGACCAAACAGAACCATGATAACATTTCAAAGTTAAGTCTAAACTCATCTTACACCTCTTCCTTGTCATAGACACGTGTTCCAATTTTTTTGCAAGCTAGAACAAAGAACAAACAGGGATTTCGTAACTCAATTTTCTCCCATTTTCTCATTCCACAGAAATTAAATACAAAAACTAAACGAATTAATAATCTTTCCATCCATAAGTTAAAACAACATAAAACAATCACAGTCCATTTTCATTAAAAGAAAAAAACAATACTTACCCGTTCATGATCATCGGTTTCCTGAGCCACCTTGATCTCTGAGTCAATGACTCGGAGAAGCAACTCGCTCGAGCTCGGCTTCTTAGCATCAGCAGCAGTAGAATAGTATTGTGGAACAAAAATGGGTTTTTTGTGGAAACAATTGATATCGTGATTTAATGCAGGAAAGAGGGAAGCAACGTAATTTCTATGGCTTACCCGGGCGATTCGAGTAGCCAGTGGAGCCAAATTGGTCGCCGATTTGCGGAGAATCGCGGAGAACACCATCTTCCTCTGTTTCAGAGTTCTGGATTAAATGAAATAGGGTTTAGTAAGGGTTTAGGGTTTCTACTTGAGATTGATTTGAGTATATTCTCCACGGTTTGTATCGTTACAGTGAAATCAGTGACCACTATTATGCTGCCATGTAATAATAATATACATAATTTTTTTTTGGAAAGGAAAAAATATACATAATATAATATAATACTACAAATAGCAAGTGACATCACTTTTGATTAATTCTCTAAACATAGTTAATCAAAATTAAGAAGAGAAACTCAATTTAAAAATTAAGAAGAGAAACTTATCAAATTTAAGTGTAGTTTTTAATGTATTGGAAAAATTTGTTGGCTCGAGTTTAATTTTTTTGAATTTGATAAATTTTTCTTGATTTTATAATTTAATAAAATAAAATATAAATTGCTTATAAAAAATAAAAAAAAAAATAAAAAATAAAAAAAAGAGAAACTCATTGTAAAATATGTACATTTCTTACTTACCCGATCAATAAAGTCTTTCAAATTTTTGTAAAGATCATAAATACTTATATATAATGGCATTTATATTCCTTATATAAAAAAATAAAAAAAAATAAAAAATGAAAAAAAAGAGAAACTCAATTGTAAATAATGTACACTTTCTTACTTACTCCGATCAATAAAGTCCTTTCAAATTTTTGTAAAAGATCCATAAATAACTTATATATAAATGGCATTTATATCCTTTATATATATATATATATATATATATATATATATATATATATTATATATATATATATATATATATATATATATAATATTCTCAAATTTCAAATAAGTATACTGCCATATCATGGTATTTATTGTTGCTTCAAATGTACAATTACCAACTTGAATTTTAGAAGAAAATTAATGACTAACTTTCAAATTTTAAATTAAATTTATCTTAAACTATCTAAGCCAGTAAAGTTTTATTTATTGAATATTTCATTTTAAAATATATATATTCTCAATTTAAATAAGTATATGCCATATCATGGTATTTATTGTTGGCTCAATGTACAAATTAACACTTGAATTTTAGAAGAAAATTTAATGATAACTTCAATTTTAAATTAATTTATTAAACTATTAAGCCAGTAAAGTTTTATTTATTGAATATTTCAATTTTAAAATAATATTATTAAACTATTTAAGAAGTGTGATATTTTATCTATCTTTTAAAAAATATTAAATAATAATTTTTACATTTCCATTCAATAAGTGTTTAATAATTGTAATTTCAACAAGTTAAAATATGTACAATTTTATAAATTAAAATATTCAATACATTTAATTTTACAAGTTGAAATTTTAAATATATAAATATAAAAATTGAAATCCCAATGGAGTTCACTCATAAAATCAAGAGAACTAGAAGCAAAAATTTTAAATTTTGTGTCATCTTATCATTATCAAAATATATCAAATAACCTATAAATTATGAGTGTGTTTTAGGTTACAAATTGAGATGCATACTTAAGCCTATGTATGATCATTTGATCAGTTTAAATCAGAATCAAACTACATTATATATGAATTAAAATCGAACTGAAATCATCGATTTAAAATTTTGAGTCAAAACCAATAGTTTACAGGTCGGTTAAAGTTCATATTAATGTTAAAAAATAAACTTGAACTAAAGGTTTTGATCCGATTCGAACCGAATATTCTATTTTTTATTTAGAAAAAATATGTAATCTCTTAATCTATTATATGCACATCCACAAGTCTAAATAAATATCACACGATTTAATAAAATTAAAAATCTAAAAATTAAAAGTGGTAGAAAAAAGTGAAATAATTATCTAATAATTACATCGTTTGAACAAATGGGAGTTTAACAACGTTTTTTTCCTTCTAAATTTGTTTCTTAGTCCAAAATTACGTTATTTGAAATCCTTTTTAATTTTTTATAATAATTTATTTAAATAATAATATTTAGACAAAATAAAATTATAATTTATTTGATTATTCTATATTTATTTATATAGTTAATAAATTCTTACATGAATATGCTCTTGCTAAAAGTTGTTTAAAATAAAACTTACTAATATTTTTCAAATTTAAATTAATTTTTTTTCCAGAAAAAAAGACATAATTTAGAAATAAATTTCTATGTTTTTTTGAAAAAAAATAATAAATATATAGTGGGTTGGAACTATGTTGGAATTTGCCAGAATTGAAATCGACAGTTCAATAATAGATTTACATTGTATATTTTAAAAAATTTGAACAGATGAATTCTATAAATCGAAATCAGAATCGGGTTGGAATGAATCGGCCATGCTAGTTAAGCCTTCGACCACATATGGCTTACACCACGACATTGGACGCCAGTGCTTCGTGCCAAAAGAAAAAACAAGTAGAGCCGCACAACAATTTGTTTTAAAAAATTCAAAATAAAAACTGTAAGCCATCATAAGCAATTGTCAGTGTGTTTGCCTTTTTCTAATAATGTAAGGTAATATCGAAAAGCAAAGAGTTTCAGTTTTCAAGGATATAAGAACATTCCATACAGAGAATAACAAGATAGATCCTTAATGAAACCCCAAATCCAAATCTATGCGAATCCCACTTCCAAATTGAGGCACTTTCCATAGCTTCACTGGAAAAGAGCTGGTGGTTGTGGTGGAGGGTGGCTGTTGCATTCATGGGAATCTTATAAAAGATCAATCTAAAAAGCACCCACTACCTAAAAGTTTTCTTTTTTCAGTCTACTGTGAAAGAGGCATATTTTAGTGGGAGAAAGACGCTTCTTTTAGAGAGAGAGATGAAGGAGTTGTTTGGGAGTCCAGGGAGAGTGAGTGGGTTTGGACTGAGAGTAGGGCAGTTTGTGTTTGCAGCAGCTTCAATTGGAGTCATGGTCTCTGCCCGTGGATTCTTCAACTCCACTGCTTTCTGGTAATCTAATTTCTAACCTTGTTTTAAAAATTGTGGATGAAAGTGAAAATCAGATGTCGGTTTTCATTTATGATTGTGTTGTCTGTTTAACAAATATTGACTGTGGAATTAATGTCTTTTCATCTATTACTACTCCAGTAGCTCATTTGATAAGTAACTTCTCTTGTTATTGTTCTGAATCTTATTTTTGAATGTTTTACTAAATGTATAATGGAAAAGGCATGGCGGGTTGGGGTGAGGGGATTTTGAGGATGTTCGAACCAGTGAAGCATTTTTGATATTTTTCCTAATTTGAGAGCAATGCCATGGTAAGGAAACAGTCCACTTGTATTTTTGCTTGAACTAATGGAGATTTCTGGGAAGAATTAGGAAAGTAAAAATAACCCCTTGATATTCCTAATGCTGTTGTCTTCTGCATATAGAATTTTCAAGGTTAAGGACTAAAATTTGTCAAGAATGAAGGCATTTCTTTGGTTGGCAGTCTTCAGTGGAACTAATGCCAATAACTTGTAACGGGTGAACTGGCATAAGGACACAATATCTACTGGTGTTTGATTTATGTGTTACTGCAATAGTGAGTGATTGTCACTTTGTCCTTTTCCTTCTATTTTTTTGCCTTTTGGTCCATTTTTTATAGGTTCTCTGCTGCATTAAACAGATAATGGGATTTGGTTAGAATACTTGGAGGGCTTTGGAGAGAAAAACAAGACCAAGTAATTATTATGTTGTGTAAAGATTGCAATGGTTTAATCTATTTGGCTGATCAGCACTCTCCTCTTTAGTTATTATGGGATTCTATTGATTTCCTAGTTTGTGTAATCTCTATAACATCTGCTTCTGGGATGTAATTGAGAGTTTTACCTTGTTACTTTGCCAGTTCTGTCACCATAATTTTAAGTGTTATGCCTAGAGATTTGTCTTTATATAGACTTTTGTGCCGTGACTCTCAAGTCCTTGATGTAGTAGACAAGAATGTTTCATATGCTAAAGCTTGAAATTTTATAAGCTGACTGTATCTTAGTATATGCATTGTTATATTCAAGATCTCTGTTCCTGCAAAATATTGGACACTTTACTAATGGTGAATTAAGGACAGAGTAACTAAGCTTGAAATGATAGAGAAGAAAGTATAAATTAGGCTAAAGCTCAAGAAATTTTAGTCATTTACCCTATGTTTTAACTGTATAAAGATGGATGCCTCCTCTTATTTATTCTTTTCTGGGGAAGGCCTTTGTATTGTAAATGATACATTCAAGCTATTTGATTTGATAGTTAATTCAAACTATAAGCTTGCTTGTACTGTACCTTCCCAATCAGTGTCATGTAGTTAATTGTACTGAACCTTCCTGATAGGGTCATGTAGTTAATTGTACTGAACCTTTCTGATCAGGGTCATGTAGTTAAAATTAGTCAAAATGGAGTCAATGAGCTACCACATTATAGAAAAGTGTTTCTTGGTTAAAGCGGGTGTCTGATTTGTGCTATCTTATGAATATAAAGATTCCAAAATCAAAGTGCATAGGACTTCCAATGATTGAACCAAGTATAATTGGTGGAGAGACAAAGAACAAAATGCATTGCTATTTTCATGCTTTGCTAAATATTTAATCAATAAACTTCTGTTGTGCAATACTCATCTCTTGTTATAGTTTTTAGAAGGTGTATGCTAGGATAATTGATAATTTCAGATTTGGAAGGATGAATCTCTTTATTTAATTGGCAAACTAAGAACCAAGCTCAACCATATTGTATTGATGATTATGGACCTAGAATGAATCGTGAACTTATGTTGCTGGCAATGGAGCAGCTTTGGTTTTCAATTCACACCTTAGGATGATTGGTTTGATATGGAGAACTACTTAACACTCACTTTGAGTTGGGAAGGGATTTATTACCACCTAATGTCTTTATATGAAGGTCCAATGTTACTTTGAAGGTCACAAGGTAGGCCTTTTTATGTGTTGGTACTGATGTGATTGGTTAGATGGAAATTGCATCTTGAGTGAGTTCTGGGCATTTAGGCACAACTGAACACCAAAATATTGAATGGTCTTCTTTCTTTTTCCTTTTTATTTTTATCTTGTCATTATTAATTCAAGTCCCCAGCATTCTGCTATGTTAATGAAGGATTTGACCACACAAATTAACCATCCTCCACTCTTTCTCACGTTTTTTTCCCTGACTGGGCATAAGATCCCTCTAATCCTGAGTTCGGAAATTACTTTTGTTTTCATCTCTTAATGGTAATTTGTGGACTCACATCTTTCTGTTGCTTACCAATTTAGGATCTACATCCTCAACGCATAGCTTAGCCGCTTGAGGTTCAGGTTGCTTGCTTTCCATTTAAAAAAACATATTTTTTCCCAATGGGCTGGGGATGCTTGGATAGTAAAATTTTGGATGTTTTGAGGCAAACTGGTGCATGACTGTGTGAATGTGTGCATTCCAATCTGCTGGCTGGTCTCAGCTACTCATGCATGTTTATCTCAATATTGTGTGGTTTTTCTGGTTCATTTTCTTAACAATGCATCTCTCCTATGTGGCAGTACTAAGATTTTGATGTTTGTATTCAATTCAGCTATTTGATTGCATCAATGGGGCTTCAAGTTCTTTGGAGTTTTGGGCTTGCATGCCTTGATCTGCATTCTTTGAGATCAAAGAGAAACCTTCAGAATCCAGTCTTAGTGAGCCTATTTGTTGTTGGTGACTGGGTATGTATTTATTGTTCATGTTTTGCTTTTATCGAACTGATTACACTCATCTTTGTAACTTATGGATAAATTTTTTACATTTAGATTTATGTTTACAGCCCATAAGTTAATCACTGAAAGGATAGAACAGTTCCCACTGCAGAAACAATTAATAAACGTTCACCCTCGTGATTGGAATATTTCCAACTTCAAGCTGAAGGCAATAGTTAAAATAACCTAACATATGATCATTGCATAGAAAACGGTAAAACTCTTCAATTAGAAGAAGATAAGCCCCTGTCCATTTATCTTCCATTGTCTATGCTGCCAGGGTTGGGTATTTACTGCATGGTAGGAGAGCCTAATAGTGAGGTTTTTTGCAGGAGGCCAGATTTTGATATATAGTTCTCAGTTACCTCTTTCATCTTCCTTCCATCCCTCCAACTCTCTTCTTTCCCTCAATTGGATATTTGCCAAGGATCAGAGTGGACCACCATCAAACTTTTTGCTAGCTCCACTTTTTACTAGCACCCTTGGCATTTGTTCAAATAGCATAGTTTAAATTAGCAAACCTTTGACTGAGGATGAAGATGAATGAATACTTTCATCATGAACTTTATATTGTCTTTCTAATGTTCTTGGCTTTTTACATAGTTGTGAGAGGTACATGGTACAATATTAATTACTAAGCCAGATTTGACTCTCTGGTCCCTTTATTAGACATGCAAGAAGCTATAAGAATATAATTGATGGAATGTTCGAAAATAAAATGGTTAGAAAAACCCATGAAATATTTGCAAAATACCCAATTTGTTTCAATTGATTCCTGTGCAGTGACATTTTCTCCTTTCTTCCCTTTCTCATGTCCATAAACCCTCCTTCTGTCCCTTGCTTTTCCTTCCTTACATTTTTCTACTTCTACCATGTCTTTCTTTTTAGATAAGAGAAGTTGTGGTTACTGGTGGCTGCATGACAATTTCAAGATTATTTCTGATTTCAAATGCTAATTGCATAGGCTATTTTGTCAAATTATATTATAATCTGGAAATATTGCCAGTTCTGTGGAGTTGTATGTCACAGTTCTATGGTTGCTAGTAGTGCTACTGTGCTGAAGCTAGATTTTAAGTTAAATGATCATACTCTTGAGAAATTACAATCCACATTATTTCTCTTCTGATCTTTTTACTTAATGTGTACTTAATCAACCTCAGGGTGTCATAATGATTGCTTAAAATTGCAGGTTACATCTATCCTTTCACTTGCAGCTGCATGTGCATCAGGTGGAGTTACAGTTTTGTATTCAAGAGACTTAAATTACTGCAAACAACCGCCCTATTTCCCATGCAGCAGGTTCAAAATCTCTATCGTTTTGGCATTTATCTCATGGTCTCTCCTTGCCATATCTTCTCATGTTATGTTTTGGCTATTGGCGAATGTATGACTGAATCTACACCAGCCTCCTGCAGCCTATTTTCTTCATTTTACCTTGTAAATATTGTTACTTTTGGAACATATCCAGTTTTTCCTGAAAATGGCAGAATTATCCCTTTCAGATGGCAAGTTTCTGTAACCAACCTCTAAATTTTGTTGTTTTGTTGCTATATTATGTTGCAACTCCCAGTTTTATTAGACTGAGAAATTCAAAAAAATTAAGAGAAAATATTGTTTTATCTCACCTTTACATAAATTTCCCTTGTTGCCTAGATTTTGTTAGTCAGGAAACTATTAATGCAGCTAGCCAAGGATTCAAACCCATGTGTCCCTAGTTTCCCTCTTGCTTGAACTGAAAAGCGGAAAAGGATAACAGAGATTAAAAAAAAAAAAAAATAAGGGAAGAGGAGGAAGAGATAGAGATAGCATATTGGTTATTTGTTTCTTAGCTAAGGCATTGTAGCTGTCCATTGAAGTACGTAACAAGCCAAATTGAACTAGCGGAACGATCATAGCCTAGCATAGATGTTTAGAGTTTGAGTTAAGATTGAAGGAGATCTGGAAATTTGTCTTGTCACTTGTGTCGGCCCATCCTCTCACTCTAGCTAAGCCTCTGGTGTGGTTCGTCTAAACTCTAACATCCTTTTCCAATTGGCATGACATGCAAGTTGCTATAAAATAGTGAGTATGGCTTTGGGGTGCTTGAGGCAGAAGCTGCCACCACCATAGCATCAATATTCTATTTAAACACTATTGAAAGCAACAATTAAACTAGTTGGAATACACTATAATTATAGTCATAGCATGTAGAAGTACTCCTTCTATCTCAAAATATAAGTCGTTTAAGGTTTTGGCATGGGAATTAAGGAAATAATTGATTCTCCTAAATTATTACCCTTTTATCTCAAAATCAAGACTACCTTGTTATTGTATCTAATGTAAATAAGGGTAATATTGAAAAAACATAATTTATTACTTCTTAAAATACTCAAAATGATTTATATTTTAGAAAGATTCTTTTCATAGTTATGAAAGCAACCAACTCAAGTGTGCTCTATTAGGGAAATATGGGATCTACAAGACTCCTATTTGTTATATCACCTACCAATTAAATCAGTATTTACTAGGGTAACCCTCTATAATTCTTTGAAAGATGGATGGTATAAAGAGAAATTGTTGACACTTGTGAAAATACTATTCAACCATACTATTAAATGTGCTTTATTCTACTTTAGGATGCCTAAAAAAGTTTGCCAGATTGTAATATTTGACCTTCCAATTGTATTTAACCTATTAAGAATAACAAGTTTTTGAGTGCTGTATGAGGTATCTCTCACGTGGTGGGACATGGAGCTTTTTCTCTTTCCCTGCAATACTATATTATCTTTTCTATCTCCACTTGATTATTTTTCAATCTAAGATTGTATTTTAAATTGCAAAATAATTAACCCTTCCCAAGAAATAATTGTAAGTATGGAGTTTTTCATCTTTAAATATTCATAGATATGGTCATCAAAATAGTTTATCATTAGGGTTGATAGAATGAACCTATCACCATAGATGGTGATATGGTTGCTGCCCAAGTCAAAGGTTCTTAAGTTTGTTTGTTGCGTTCTTTTTTTATTTATTTGTTTTTAAGATTTTCTAATTAAGGTTTGAAAATTGCCAAATGTATAAATTCACTGCTGTGCTTCTCATAAAAAATTGTTGCACTTTCAGTTTTATTTTAATATGTTAACCCTTTAATTTACAAAATTGTACCTATTGGAACACTTCAATTTGCAAAATCGTTTGATTGAAGACTAACTTATAAAATTAGTTCAGATAAAAATGGGTTTGATTGCTAAGCACCTAACCAGGTAATCCACACACATATTTAGGGCTGGGAAGAAGACAAGCCATTACTGCAAAACCCACATACAGTTTAAGACGTTAACATGTAAAACTACCTTTCTCAGAATTTTGTATCACCAAAACAACAGCAATGCTATCTATTTGGGACCCTTTAGTATGTATCAAATTGGATTTTTCTGTCCATATATATCGTGGCCACTGGCCACGTCTCCGACTTTTTATAATTGCCTCTGATTCATCTGAAAGATGACACTTCACTTCTGGGTCCACCGTGTTTAAGTCTTGCAGATGCTTATCCTTTCACTTTAGTTCTCATGACCCATCTCCTTTTTTCCAAGACAAGGTCATCAATGACTTAAGCCATGAAATTAATCTTTTACTGTATCCTGGAAGAGAGGGAACTATGTCCTAGAATTCTAACCGCAAGAAAAATGCAAGAAAAATGTATATTTAGTAAAAGTAACTGCTTTAATAAGTGCTGTTTAAATTGCTTTATAAATACTAAAAAGTTAAACATTATGCAAAACGCCAGCCAAGATATGATATTTGTTTTAGATTCCAGTTTAAGATTTATATGAACTTAAAACTCTCCAATCAACCCCAATGCCTACCTCAGCTATTTTTGAGCTACGATCCTCCAAGATTCAAAATATTATAACAAAGCAATATCGTGACAGCTTGAATGGCTAAGAACAAAATACATAATTCATAATTTATGCCACCGACACTTGAAGGGAAACATATTACAGAATTGGAAAATCCAAAATGACCTACAAGAATCCATATTAAAATGGCAGTATGAAACAAAGAATTTTTTGTCATATGATAAATTACAGAAAGCCCCATGAATAGGATATTTATTTATATGTACATTGCTGGGTAAAAATAAAACCAAGATCACACTTATGAGCTCCATCACAAACGTCCTCACTCAAGCAACTTGACTAAAATTCATCCAAACCTCAAAAAACCGACTGACTTTTACACTTGCGTTCCAGAACTGAAAAGGTGAAGCAAAAGAACCAAACAAGTATTTTAATCTCCCTGACTAAAACATATTCTACAAATTTCAACCCCATTTCCTCACATAACTATCTCCGGCTTCAAAATGCTTGATTTGATCTCCTTGTGGGGCAAAACAACACCCCCATTGCTGTATATTTCATCGCATACATGAACATCTTCTCCAAGAATTGTCATGTTTTCTACGCGAGCCCATTGGCCAACAGTGGAGTGCCACCCGATGATGCTGCTGGATATGCAAGCATGTTTCTTGATGCGCACTCCACGCATCACAGTGCAACGAGAGAGTCTAACTCCTGATTCAACAACACAGCCTGGACCTATGGCAACATCAGGTCCAATTAAACAACCTTCTCCGATCTTGGCAGTCTCATCCACCAAAACATTTCCCACAATATGGGGGCCAGTGGCCAACTTAGATGAAGACCGCTTCCGCAAAGAGTCTAGATAGAGTCTCAGACCTGTAATGTAATCTCTTGGCTGTCCAATGTCCATCCAAAAACCTGGAAGGACCATTGCAAAGAGATTTTTATCTCCTGCAATATTTGGGAAGACCTCTTTTTCAATTGAGGTGGGCCTCAGTTCAATTCGATCAAGGACAGATGGGTTTAACAGATAAATTCCTGCATTGATTTTGTTTCCAACAAATATTTTTGGTTTTTCTACAAATCTCTCAACCCTCCCAGTGGATTCTTCCATAACCACCACACCATATTTTGATGGCTCATCCACCTATCACAGTTAGGCCAAATGTTTTCAATCAATTGACAATTGTTTTTCAGTTTCAAAATATCTCATCTATGGATGGCTTTACCAAATCAAAGTTGCATGGGATTTTTACCTTGGTTACCATTATAGAAGCCTCTCCTCCATGGGCTTTGTGGAACTCTATCATTTCTTTGAGCGGATACTCACTGATGACATCACTGTTGAGAACAAAAAATGGTTCACCAGAACCATCAACCAATTTGTCCCTAGCCAAAGCCAGAGGACCAGCAGTGCCAAGTGGCTCAGTCTCTTGCGAGCATGTAATCGTAATCCCCAGCTTAGCTTCAAATTCTTTCAAGAAATTCAACATCACCTGCAGAAAGATGGAGCAACATGCCAACACCATAAGCAGCTAACCAAACCTTAGTTGAATCAACTCCTTAATCTTTAATTTAACTCAGAAGGTAGTGAGGAAAGAGAAGGGAAAGGAGAGATCCATTCTTTACCTCTGGTTGGTAGTTAATAGCCAGTACCACTTCAGTAACTCCAATTGCCTTTAGAGCCTCAATCTGCAAGGAAATCAAAGTCAAGTCACAAATGCTCCGAGAAGACCAGTACTTTGGAGATTAAAAAATGCATCGCTTCTCAATCATGGATCACAACAAAATTGGAAATCAACAGAGTAAGATAACCCAAAAGAAAACATCCTATTTATGGATCAAGTTAGATATATATTAAGAGTTTTGAAAACACACAATACTTGCAAATGTATACCTGATGCAGGATCATAGGTTTGTTAGCAAATTCTACAAGTGGCTTAGGGACACTAAGAGTCAATGGCCTCAAACGTGTCCCAAACCCTCCGACAAGAATAAGCGCCTTCATTGTGATTTGCCCCCTGCTTTTCCTGCGAAATACCAACCAAGCTGCTACTTAACACACACAGATACAGAATACGATTTAACATATTATCAACAGCAGAACCATGTGTCCAACGAACTAGCTGGTACTAGTAAACAACTTTCAGCTAAGTACAGGTTGGAACATAAAGGATATGTAATCTGAATCAGAATATAGTCAATAGGTAACTATTGCTTCAAGTAAATGACAGAAATCTTAAATTATTTTATACTTCTTAACAAAGACAAAGCGGCCTCACCTACTAATGTCGCAGAATTTTTCGTTTTGTAGCACCTAGGAAATTTCCATTATACCATGCTCCAAAGAATTAGAAGGTTGCAACTTAAAACTTACAACTGACATGTTAGAAAGGGTCCATTCCATAAAATACATAACCTTTAATCTGTTTTCCAAATTCTGGAGTTGACCAAGTAAATCCATTTTAAAAAATTCTACTCGTTTGCTCATGTAACACAAAGCAAAAATCCTGAATTTGGTAATATAACAAATCTTCATGAAAAGAAAGCAAAAGATGCAGCTAACATTCCCAAGAACAAGAAGATAGATATAACTCTTCTAGCATACTCAACAGAAAGAAAGGAAAAGGCAACAGATTTCTCTGTCATCATTAAATAAAGTCGAGAATGATGGATTCCTACCTTCCCCAAAAAGGAAGCTTCAAAAAGATATAACTCAGAGAAAACAAAACATAATTACAATAAAAAAAATCTTTCAGAACTCAATGAGCTGAAAACATTTTGTACTTATTAAGACAGAAAATGAAAGTTTCTTTTACCTTTTAACTTAATGAAAGATTTGTGCTTCTTTGAGTTTGGATTGTAACATAAAATTTATGGCAAGCAAGAAAGAAAAGGTACAAAACAACAAATCATACAAACTTGAACCAAGGATATGGCTCTACCATTACCGGATCTAACAAATACATGAAAGTATAATCAATTAATTATTAAAAGATTCTAAATTTCACAACTAAAAACACATATAAGGACAATTCAAAACAAAATAAACAATAAGAAACAAAACATTATCCACATTGCTGCATTTTGCTGAAGATCCAAATCAAACCGACACCAATTGACACCGAACAGAGCTATAAAGAGACGTAAAAGTACAATCAAAACGACAATGTAAACCACGCAGATCCAATCAGAAGTCGTAATTATTAACATTTAGCAAAGCAAAAGACCACAAATTCACCAGGTAATTGATTACCTTAAAGCTTCACCAGATCAGAAAATTGAAATTAAGTCCCAAAATCAGAGCCCCGAACGGAATCCGGGGCGATTCAGAACGGTTGAAACTGAGTCGACTCGGGAGGGAAATTGCTTTTACAGGCGCCTGATGTGTACAGAGGACGTTGTATTGAGAAAGACGATGGTCTTATTTATATATAGCGGAAAGCCGGAAATAAAAAAACCATTCATTAACTATCATGCATTTGGCGGATTTCAAATAAATAATTAAATTTTATTTTGGATGAGCTTTCCTTTTCATTGAAGTAATAATTGCATTTATCTCCTTAGATTATAGGGCTAATGTTTTAATTTAGTAGAAGTTTCGGGGCAGTCTCGCATTTTGATAAATTTGCAGGATGTGGATAAAATAGTAATTCCTCCGTCTCTTTTAGAATCTGAAAATTTTTTTTACCATTTCATTTTACAAAATTAATTAGAAATTACTTACATTCCACTTTAAATCTCATTTAAGATGACATTTTCCCACCTCATTTAATATTTTAGAAAAAGATTTTCTGAGAAGATACTATTTTAGAAAATTAGAATCACAATATTATTGTTTTTCAATTTTCTTTATGTCTTTTTTATATTTTTATTAATTAAATATTAATTATTTACCAAATTCGTAAAAGCTTTTAGAATTAAAGTTGTTTAGTAATTTTCGTTAATCTTATTCTCTATGTTCATTAAATTTGACAACTTTTAATTTTTCACAAGAATTAAAAAAATAATTGAATCACCTCAATTTAAAAAAAAAAGTAATTAACTAAACTATCTTTTGACTAATATTCATTTAATTGAGAGAAAGTTTAATATAGATATGTAGATAATATAAAGTTAAAATAAAATAATTAATATTACTTTCATTTTATAAAAGTGTCGTCTAAAAAAAATCAAAAGTTAATAAATTTAAAGAAACGAAAAAAGCGATAGAACATCTTAAATATCACACTTGTATTGAAATACGTGTAGTATAGTTTTTTTTTTATTTTATCTTTTTTTTTTAGTTTTTCGTATTAATTATTAAGACAATCAATAAAATAAAATGGCAATTTAGTCAATTGCTAAGGAACTTTTTTTTGTATTTATGTGATAATTTTCTGACTAATAAATAAACTGATAAGCACAATAGAATTTCTTTGTACAATAATATGTTGGCATCCAATGGGAGTGATAATTGCGTGTGGTTATGATCTGTCATCTTGCATTTTTTGTTGAATAATTTATTACTATTTGATTTATATTATTAAGTAAATATATAATTAGCTCTTAAAAAAAGTAAATATATAAATTATAATCTCAATTTTTTAAATTTAATTTCCATAATTAGGTTCCTCAAAAAACTTAATTGGCAGAGGCGAACAGTTCTTGGATATGATTGGACAAGCAACGTGTGCTAGTTTTGTCTGTACTTTGCAACCGACAATACAGTATATGCCACGTAGATTCGCCCGCAGGAACAACCTATGCCAGCTAATACTTCCCATTTGTAAATTGTAACTGATTCAGTTTTTTTTTTTAATAAATATATTAAGGTTTAAATAATGCAAATATGAAATGTATAAAAGTAAAATTTTATAGGAAAAAGGAAACTGCTATTCAACAAATGCATCTTCAATTGAACTCTTCTTACAATTCTAAAATTTCACAACCCAAAAGTGAAATTCTATGCGCTTAAAAGAGCTCATCAAATCCAAAGCCATAACGTGAGGTGTAATTAATATTGCTGCATGTCACATGCAAAACCCTAAAATTTTAAAATATACTTGCTTTGTTAAATTGGTACTATTACCATATCAACTGAATCTGTGGGTTTGAACCAAACTCTGGAGGTATAAAATGAAATATTCAAACTTTGAATGCAAAAAACCTAACAAATGGGGGTTGACAAATCTCTATAAATTCCCTTTGACGATGCGTCAAGTCAGATTTTTTATGCATATATTTTTAAATACGTTACACTTTTTCAAGAACTGGGGATGTGTGTTGTGAGTTGGAAATATTGTTTTCTTCAGTTAGTGTTATTATGCCAAATTGCAATTCTAATGTGAATATCGTGTTGGCAACTTGGCGTGTTACATGTATCTACTTCAAAGTAAATTGGAAGGTATAGTCAAGCCCATTGACCCAACCGATAATTTTTACATCCCGAGTATTTAAACGGACTTCATATTTATACAATTTTAATGACTAAATATATAAATTTACTCTTAATATAGAGATAAAGTTTGACTCTAAAATTAAAAGGGATAAAAAAATTCAAAATTATAGGAGCTAAATCAAAGAAAAATTTTGTGGCACTCTTTTATTAGAAAAAAAAAGGTTTTTGGAGTTGGGGATGGCCGGGCTCTCCTCAGTTCCCCTCCCTTTGTCCGATACTTTTATACTTTTCCCAAAAAATTTTTTGATATCCAAAATTGGCAACATAATTTTTAGAATTTCTAATTTTTATTTACAAAATACTTATTTGATATATAGTTTGTGAAAAATAATAATTTTAATATTTTTTAATTATACAATAAATGTTTAATCCGATCAGATAGAACATTCAGTAAAATGATTTTCTAGAATTTAGACTGTGTAGATGAGGTGAACTGGTTACAATCTCATTTTCTAGAGCCATCCCATTCACCAGAACAATGCACAAATTTTTAGGTGATGATGGAAAATTAAACTGTAGAATTCAGTCAACTGTCACTAGCAACTTGTACCTTGCAACCATTGCTTATTTGACCAACTTCAGGGGAAGAGTTAATAGCAATTAAAAGCAAAGCATGGTGAGAGGTTTTGAAATACTTTTTAGGGTAAAATTTTAGAAAGGGAAATTTTAAATCATTCGCTATGTTAATTAATAAAAGAAACAATAAGATAGATAACAACTAAATATGATATACTACATGAATCTTTTTCCATTTTGTTATTTTACTAGCTAAATTCTCATTGATATTTAAAGACCGATGAATATCCTTTTATTACAATTTTTCTCTTTATGATTTTAGGTCCACCTCTCCTCTGCAACTAAAATATCCAAAATTGAAATTTATGAAAATTACTTTTCAGAAGTCATACTTATCGATATTTTATAAATAAAAGTCAAAAGATTTTAAAAATTATTGATATTAATGTTAAAATGTGTGTAATATTATTAAAATTTTATAAATTCAAGTCTACGATACGTTCTCATAAAATTCATGGTCCCACGAGATTAAAATTGTAAAATGCAAAGATGAATTCATGTTTTGTTCAATATTATGTGACTATAGATATTATGTCTTGTTCAATGTTGACTATAGATATTGTATCTCTATAACATTCATCTTACGAATATATTGAGCATTCATCATCCAATATCGAATAAAAATTAATATAATATGAAAAAATTCTTTAAGAATGAGGTAATTTGAGATTCTGAATTTGGATTCGCTTGATCATAAAAATTTTCATCAATGTCAAGAGAAAGAGAAAGAGAAGACTATCTAAGCTAAGCTATGTAGACAATTACTGTGCGAAATAAAAAAAAAAAAAAAAAAAAAAGGCCTAAAGCTATGTAGACAGATTACTTGCGAAAATAAAAAAAAAAAAAAAAAAAAGCCAAAAAAAAAAAAAAAAAAAAAAAAAGCCTAATTTGTGTAAGGCCTATAAGGCCATACCAGCTTGTGTTGGGCCTGAGATTTGAGGCCCCCAAGAATGGCCAGCGCTCAGTTTAGGAAAGGGCATCGCTGTACTTTCCTAAACAGCAAAAACCCGGCGTCGTAAGGCAACCGTATCTTTATTATAAAATCCTAAGCGATGCGTTTCGACAGAACCCTAGATCTCTCTAAGCCATGGCTCTCGATAAATCTGCTCTGAACCAGAACAAGCCGCTCCGGTGGGGTGAGCTGGACGAGGACGACGGCGAGGATTTGGACTTCCTTTTGCCGCCGAAACAAGTAATTGGCCCCGATGAGAATGGAATCAAAAAGGTAATCGAGTATAGGTTTAATGATGATGGTAATAAGGTTAAGATCACGACAACGACCCGAGTACGGAAGCTTGCCAAGGCTCGGTTAAGTAAGAGTGCTGTGGAGCGCAGAAATTGGGCTAAATTTGGCGACGCTGTTCATGAGGATGTTGGTAGTAGGCTTACCATGGTTTCTACTGAGGAGATCTTGCTCGAAAGACCTAGAGCTCCAGGTATATTATATCTCTCTATATTATTTGTTGATGTTTTGGTTTGGGTTGATTCGTTTTTCAGTTTGATTACTTACATTAGGACGGTGAAGCACTGGAATAGAATGTTTGAGTGTTGTGATTTTCATGGTGTTGAATTGATTTTGGTGGAAAAAAAAGTTGAATTTGGAAATAAAATGCATTTTTTTAATGATACTTGGGTTACCTTGGGGCTTCTACAGAAAATCTTCGGAAAGATAATAACTTTGTACTTTTTTTCTTTGCTTTGTTCTGTTTTAGAGTTGTTTACATGTGGGGATTGTGAAAGCTGCCTCCTGTATTTGTGGTTATTTAGTTACTTGTAGATGTTGGTCTCTCTTTGGTCCTCGAAAATCATACTCATAAGGAAGTTAAAGGAAACGAGTTTTGGCTCTCTGTTTTTGAAGTTTATATCTCGAGTACCAACTACAAACTTTCTTCTCATATATATAATCAGGTTGTATTATGAAGTTTATAGTTGGTACTCAAGATATTGTCGCTTAGATTGTTTGAGATGGAACTCTCTCTTTTTTTTTTTTTTTTTTTACTCAAGATATTGTTCGACTTAGATTGTTTTGAGATGGAACTGCTCTTCTTTTTTTTTTTTTTTTTCAGAGAAATTTCCTGAGGAAAAAAAAACTCGATTCTAAAGTGGATCGTTTTTATACCGCAGTTCTTTGCTTTTAAGCTTGTTTATTTCACAATGGCTTTTAAGCATCGGTGTTGTTTAATGTTCTTGTTCCTCATGAAGTTTTGAATGCGGCTTTTTTGTTCTGACTGTATTTTGTGAACTCGATTTTAGTTTTGACTGACTTCCCCTTGGGAATTTCATATGTTTTTACGTCTGGTTATTGGTGGCCTGTAATTAGCCAATCCACATTTTTTTTTTTTTTTTTTTCAGAGAAATTTTGAGGAAAAAAAAACTCGTTCTAGAAGTGGATGTTTTATACGCAGTTCTTGCTTTTAAGCTTGTTTATTCACAATGCTTTTAAGCATCGGTGGTTTTTAATGTCTTGTTCATGAATTTGATGCGGGTTTTTCTGACTGTATTTGAACTCGATTTTATTTTTGACTTGACTTCCTTGGGATTTCAATGTTTTATCTGGTTATGGTGGCTAATTAGCCAATCACATATTAGCCATATGGCTTTTATTTGATGTGAATGGTCAGTAAGCTCACCAAAAGTATCTGTTGGTGATTTCTAATTGTGAAACAACAAGTCTTGTTTCACTTAGGTTGTCAACTACATCAGCAATCTAAATGAATTTTGTAGTACTGATGATTTCTTTTTGTGCTATGAGTTTTCATCTTGCTGTATGAATTTCTTTGCCTTATTATGTTTTGTTTCATATAAATTACCTGTTTTTTAGGTAATGGTGGCTAATTAGCCAATCACTTATTGTCTTTAGGCTGTTGTTTTATGTGAATGGTCAGTAAGCTTACCGAGAGTAGAATTATGTTGGTGGCATGTCAAGGTGAACAGGAATTGTGGTTTTACTTTTAGCCCATCAACATCCATAAGATGAAGTCTTTCATTAGGATTTGCTTCTTTTATTTAGTTATGGTGGCCAATTAGCCAGTTGCATATTGCTTTATAAGGCTTTTTGTATGCTGATGGTCAGTAAGCTCACCAAAAGCACCATTCTTTTGGTGGCATTTAATGGTTATCAAGAAATTTGATTTAAAGGTCATAAGATGCTCAGTCTTTCATTAGGACTTGCTTTATATTCTTGTAGGGTGACCAATTAGCCATTCACATATTGCCTTGTGGCTGTTATTGGAAGTGAATGGTCAGTAAGTCACCAAAAGTAGCTTACTGTTGAGGGTATGCAATGGTGAACAAGAATTCTTGATTCACTTCTAGGCCATCAACTACATTTGCACATTATTTCATCTTTATATTTGCTGGAGGTCCTCATTGAACAACTTATCTGTGTATATTTGCTCGAATTTTTTGAAATTGTTTGCCTGAGTTTGCTCTTTGATTTAATTATGCTTTGTGTTGTTAATTTCACTTTCTTGGTCTAGTGTGTACTTATTTTGGAACAGGAGTCATTTTATCCTTTGCTTGATTTGTTAATGGGTCTAATGCTGATATAGTTTAATCTTTGTGTAATCTGCTTTATTGCCTTCACAAGAGAATCTAATGGGTATGATGCGGTTAATGCCAATGAGAAATTTTTTCCTCATTTTGATGATTACATTTTCTTGAAGTCATTGAATTTGTTGATTTCCTCAGTATTGCATCTTAAAAAGAGCTTCTCTAGTACATGAGGTTTGTATCCTGCAGGCAACCTTCTTGTGTGCCAATTCTGTGGTTCTACCCTGCTTAAATATCTGCTGCAATTTATTTTCTAGATCTTGGTTGTGGCTTTTCATAGAACTTTTCATTTGATGATTTTCTCTTTTTCTTGAGAATTCTTTGTTTGGCTTCGCATCTGGTACTGTTATTATTACTATTCAACATCATGGTTATTCCTTTTTATTTATTGTTTTAATATGGATAATTCCAACAGGTACTAAAGTGGAAGAAACAAAGCTACCAGGGGATAACTTGGCTCAATTAGGTAAAGCTGGAGCTGTTCTCATGGTGTGCAGAACTTGTGGTAAGAAAGGTGACCACTGGACTTCAAGATGCCCCTACAAGGATCTTGCTCCACAGTCAGAAGCCTTCACTGATAAACCGCCAACATCAGAGACTGCCGCTGCTGCTTCTGGACCTACAAAGGGTGCTTATGTGCCACCAAGCATGAGAGCAGGTGCAGAAAGACCTGCTGGATCAGATATGAGGCGCAGGAATGAAGAGAATTCAGTTCGTGTCACCAATTTATCAGAGGACACTAGGGAGCCTGACTTGCTTGAACTGTTCCGTACATTTGGTCCTGTGAGTCGTGTTTATGTTGCTATTGACCAGAAGACTGGTGTCAGCAGGGGTTTTGGCTTTGTAAACTTTGTAAACAAGGAAGATGCTGAGAGGGCCATCAACAAGCTCAATGGATATGGTTACGATAATTTAATCCTTCGAGTTGAATGGGCGACACCCAGATCTAACTAGATTTTGAAGTTACAATCTAATATCTGCTGGTGATCACAGTTTTTGGCATTCTATTCTCATCTTGAAGCCACCTTGCCATTCTTCCAGGGATTTTGTTGTTCATAGTTATCATGTTTAAGATTGAGTTGATAGGATCCTTTTAGCAATCAACAAGAGAGACATAATTGTGTTATTTTTATGTTATTGTAATTGCGTTCCATAATTGGTTTCAGAAATGGCATAATGCTTTATTATCATTTACTTTTTAATTCTAGTTTTTTACATCCTCAGATATTACAAAATTCAACATGTACTCAATATCCTCTGCAGCTTCTTTCATGGAAGGCCTATTCTCCCTTTTGTCCTCCAAACAATCCAAAGCCAAGAGTGCCAATTCTTTCATGCTCTCAAGCTCCACACTGCTCGCCTTTTCCTTTAGCCTCCTATCAATTACCTCCATTAATTTCTCCTCCTTCATCATCGTCCTCACATAACTCACTAAGTTTACATCATCTTCCCTTCTACTAAAATCAACTGCTTTATGTGAAGTTAAAAGCTCCAACAATACAACCCCGAAGCTATACACATCGCTCTTATCAGTTAATTGAAATTTTCTAAAATACTCTGGATCTAAATATCCAATAGTACCTTGGCAACAAGTAGATATATGACTCATATCACTATGTGCTAACCTAGATAATCCAAAATCTGAAATCCTGGCGATCATTTTGTCATCAAGAAGAATATTGCTTGATTTTACGTCTCGATGATATATGGGGGGAGTAGCAGAGATATGAAGGTAACTGAGACATTCTGCAGCGTCATAAGCAATTTGGAGACGATGAATCCAAGATAATTGGCCTTGCTCAGATTGTAAATGATCAAAAAGAGTTCCATTTGAAATGTACTCGTAAACTAAGATAGGTTGGCCAAGCTCAACACAACAACCCAGTAAACGTACAAGACTTCTATGATTCACTTGGCATAAAATTCGAACCTCATTGAGAAGCTGATCAGTTCCTTTGGTGTTTCCAAGCTTAGCACACTTGACTGCAACAACAGTACCATCGTCTAGATTTCCTTTGTAAACTTCGCCGTAGCCTCCGGCACCCACGAGCCGGTCCTTGGAGAAGTTGTTTGTAGCTTTCTTTATTTCTTTTTCTGTAAAGAGTTTTGCCGCTTTGCTTCCATCAGCACTCAAGATTTCTTGGCGGTCTCTAGCAACACGTTCTCGTGCCTCTTTTCTGCGTTTGTAATGTTTGAATTTGTAAAGCACGGTGGCTATGGTGATGACCATAAGCAATGCAATAAGGCCGGACGTTATACCTATAAAGGGAAAGAGAAGATGCCATTTTTATCGTAAATCCTTCATCAGCTTGGAAAAAATCCATCTGGGTGTATATAATATGTTCAAGTACCTGCTATAAGTGCAGTCTTCTTCGACTTTTCACAGCCTCCAGAACTTTGACACCTGCTCGCTGCAAAAAATTTCCAAGAAACGAAAATTGAGAAACAGAAAAACCATCTTCAACCAAAAATTCTCCATTGTTACAAACTTACTCTCAGCACAGATCCCTTGGATCGGGTCCCACTGAGACCCAACCTTACAATGGCACCTTCTTACCCAACTCATATTCGGGTCAGGCTCACAAGTGGAGTTCCCATCACAATCTACCTGAGACCTACACACTGGTTCCTGAGGCAGCGCCCATTGGATCTCCACTCCCGGGTCGGGCCATTTATCCACAGGCAAACTCGAATCCAGATTAACGAAGCTTCTATAAGCTCTGCAACCGGCATCTCGAACCCGTATCCGATGCTTCGTTGGCGAGCCACCCGCTTGAAAAGTACAACAAATGGATGCATCCTTGCAAGTAGACTCCATTCCTCTACTGCTATTAACGTACAACCGGCACAAGCTAGCCGGCGAACAATCCAGCGGTTGTTCAAGAATAGACTCCGAACAGTTCAAAAGCAAGACTGTGTTATGACTGGTGATGTTAAACGGAAGAGAACTGTTTAATTGAATACCCTGGTAGGTAAAATCAGATGAGATGCAAATGTTTGGTAAGGGATTTGCTGGCTTTATCACTAGCCGTTGATCTGCTTGGTTGATGGAAATGATTGGATATGAGTTGTTAAGTGTGTCAAATAGAAGTGCACCTGCGTCACACCGGATTTTGTATGATTGGTCTCCACAACTTGGCGCTGTGCTAAGCGGGTAAGGAACAGCGGTGTTGCCGCAGTTGGGGCATTGATTGGCTGAAAACGAACATATGGCGGATGTTAGCAGCAGCGCCGCCGTGAGAAGGAGGTGATTTGGTGGTGGCTTCATGAACTCCGATACACCAAGCACGCGCATTGTTTTCATTAAGCATGTATAGAGTTTATATAGGCTTTATAACTTAGGAGATGGGAGAAATATCATTAGGTAGGTATTATTTTTAAAAGACTATGATTTGACGCATGTTAATGCAGTCAAAAGTGCTTTTGCAAATATAATTAATTAATTAAGGTTAAAGATTTCCACATTTGTATTAAAAATTATCCATTAATATGTTTTTTAATATCTAGGAAGTGGAGTATTAGTTGGATGTCTATAATATATTATCAAATGCTGATAATTGAATAAATTTCTAAAATAAAAAGTACTGAATTCAATAGATAAATATGATAATTTTAGAGGTTAGAAGATTATTTTTATAAAATATTTTTCTCACAAGTTGTAAAATTTGAAAATAAATTGTATCAAAAATTAAAATTCTATAAGTTTCTTTAATTTGCACTTTGGTAACTCTTGACCCGTTTGTTTTAGCTGTTTATATTAGTGAATAGCTGATGACCATAGCTAATAGCTAGTGTTTAGTGGCTGATGTGGCTAATAAATGTTGGTGTCTGATAAAATTTTGATATCAGTTATTGTTAAAATGTAAAATGACCATTAAATATAATATATTATTATTTATATTCTATCGTATTATATAAAATAAAAATATTAATTAAAATTTTAAATAATATATAATAAAAATTATTATTTTTAAATAACTATAAATAAAATAATTATAACAATATGAATTTTAATATTTTATTAATTATTATTTGTTTGAGATTAATGGAGTTCACATAAAATAATAATCAAATTAGCAGCTATGAATGTTAGATTAAAAAGCTTACCAAACACGTATAAAATTAGCTATTCAATAAGTTGAATATTATTTTTTCTATTTACAAGTACCTTTAATCTAAAAATTAAGCATTATAAAAATAATTAACATGGTCAATAGTATGCAACACTAGTCGTTCAAGAGAAAAAAAAGAAAAGTAATGGTATTGTCAATTGTACCCATTAACTTTGAGACTTCCAGGAAAAAGGGAGAATGAAAATGTTAGGCAGAGAGCAGGTGTTATTGGAAAATTACACTGAAGATTCCATTTCTTTTTGACTTTTAATTAAAGCTAAATTTTGCATGAAAAATATGTGTACATATAAATCAAACGGCAGGTCGTTTGTGGGAGCTTATGCAAACAAAAATCATTAGTTTGACCTAGTAACATAGAACAATTGTAAGATCTATAATACAATAATAACATGAATTAATATGGAAAATTATACTTGTTTAAGATTTTGTTGACTTAAGATCTTGTCAAGATAGATTAAGTGTAGAGAATTTATTTTCATAGGAGTTTATAAATTAATTATTTTTTATAAATAATATGAATTAATAAGATTATCGTATATTATTTCATCAAACAATAAATCTTATAATATGTTGCTTAACAAATGATAGTAAATAATAGTATGTTTCATCATATTTTTATTTTTGAAAGTATAGTTTATATTAAATTAGTCAGTTTTAAATTTAATATACATAAACACATTAATAGAATTATTCCAAACTATTAAAGTTCTCTCAACATACCTATAATTGAACCTAATTCTAAATTTTTTCACAAACAATAATAAATTTATAATGTGAAAAATTGAAGAAGAAAATCAATTAATAAAATAAAATAAAATAAAACAAATAAAAAACTGTGAATCAATAGAATTTCAAGAGATGAAATGCACTTACATTATTGAAATTTATTAACTGAAATTCCAACTATTTTGAGAAAATCACACTATCATTTTACTGGAACTCTTGTACCCTCTGAAGGTAACTTTTGCTTTCTCTCAATTAGCTCTAAGAGGCCTATTTATAGTGAGATTTAGGTTAATTAAATTAATATTAGGATTACTAATTGATTTAATATTCCTATATATTTAGTTGATATATAATATTTCTTAATAACTTTCTTTAAAATAAATAATTTATCTCAACTAATAGCTTTTTTTCCTTTTCTTGTATAATTTAACAATTAGGATCAATATAAATGAATTAAAAGATTTTTATTTTTTATTTTTTCGTTTTCTAGTGTACTATAATACGTGTTGGTATTAGTCTATTTAAACATCAAAAAAATATTTTATATTATTCTATCTTATTTTAATTTTTTAGTCAATCAAATTAAAAATTTCCTAATTATTAGAATACAACTAAATCATATTTTTAATATAATATATAAATCAATAAATTAAACATTTTCTAATTAAAATGGGGCTAAATCAACCAATAAAATACAATAAAATTAAAATTTCTTAATTAGAATAGGACTAAATTATCCTTAATTATATTTTTAATCAACTAATAAAATTAAAACTACATGGAGACATTTTAGGAACTCAACATTTTCCATTCGTACTTTTATATATGTTATAGATTATAGATAGATATTATATTTTAGTAGTACTTATTATTAAAATAGTAAATTGAATCGGTAGAAAATAATAAATAAATAAATAAATAAATAATTGCTTTAGTAAAGATGAGAAAAGAGCGTGCAATTTGGATTCAGAGCTGGCTTAGTTTTGAACTCCAAAGTCTGGTCCAATTCTATTCACATTAGTGAAAAATTGTAGGCAAAAGAATTGGACCAGACTTGTAAATGTAACTTTCTTCGGGGCAACTCTAGAGACTCTAGTGCGTTATGGTCTTTCATGAATATTATTGAACGAGCCTCATCAAAATTAATTGACAGGTATATATGTTTTTTCCATAAATATTTTTCATCAGACTCCAAACTTTTCAAATTTTGTACAATATATAAGAATTCTATTTTATTATAAATAATTTTCACCTTAATCCTATGGTTTGGAGCATAATTTAATTTTCCATAATACAAAATATGAATCAATTAAGCATAATTTGACTAAATCCAAAATATGGAATTATATAAGCTAGTTTTCTTTTGCTGTAGCAATACTCATAATATACTCGATTTCTTCAGAAACTTCTTTCATGGAAGGCCTATTCTGTCTCTTCTCTTCTAAACAGCTCAAGGCCAAAAATCCCAATGCTTTCATTGTCTCAAGCTCCAAATTACTTGCTTTCTCTTTTAACATGGGATCAACTACCTCCATTAGCTTTTCCTCTTCCACCATCCTCTGCACATAAACTGCCAAGTTCACATCATCTTCTCCTCTGCTGAAATCTATCGCCTTCGTAGAAGTCAAGAGCTCCAACAACACAACTCCAAAACTATAAACATCGCTCTTATCAGTTAACTGATATTTCCTGTAATACTCAGGATCTAAATACCCAAGAGTACCTTGAGCACAAGTTGATATGTGGCTTAAGTCGCTATGAGCTAATCTTGATAACCCAAAATCTGAGACCTTAGCATTCAACTTCTCATCAAGCAGTATATTGCTAGATTTCACGTCTCGATGATAAATTGGAGGAACAGCTGAGAAATGAAGGTAAGAAAGCCCCACAGCAGTATCATGAGCAATTTTGAGGCGCTGCGTCCAAGATAGTATGCTTTGCCCACCAGATTTCATGCCTTGTAAATGATCAAGGAGTGTTCCATTTTCAATATATTCATAAACCAAGATGGGCTGCTCAAGCTCAACACAGCAGCCAAGCAAGCATACAAGGTTTCTGTGGTTGACCTGACATAGAATTCGTACCTCATTTAGAACTTGTTCAGTGCCTTTAGCGTTTCCAAGCTTTGCACACTTGATAGCTACGACAGTGCCATCATCAAGAATTCCTTTATAGACTTCACCATAGCCACCAGCACCTAGAAGGCGGTCTTTGGATAAGTTGCTTGTTGCTTTCTTTATTTCTCTGCCCGTGAAGAGTTTTGCTGCTCTACTTCCACCGGCATTTAAGACTTCTTCACGCTCTCTAGCTAGGCGTTCTTGAACTTGTTTAATGCGCCTGTGGCGTTTGTATAGGAGGATGGCAACTATGATCACCAAGACTGTTGCACCTAAGCCAGAGGTCAAACCTACACAAAGTTTTGGGTTTTTTGTTAGGACATGAGAGGAAAGATCATTTTGTAACTTTCTTATTATACTCTTAGAAGGGTGGTACAATATTAAATAGAATACCACCATTAATTAATAATAATCTAACCAGGCGAACCAGCAAAGATAAAGGAAAAAGAATGAACTCCAATACATAGTAAAGTGAACAGAAAAGACCATTGTTTAGCAATTGAAAGTTTGAAACTTCAAAAAGTTAAAAGCTATACTTAGATTTTTCAAAGTAATGGTTAGTCTAAATGAAAATGTGAAGTTAAATGGTGCAGGAGAATTATTGGAAAAATAAACAAAAGATACAAGTTTATCCTTTTCTTTTCTTCACTTATTTATTCAAAACCTTCCTTTCTAATTAATTGGAACCAACAGGAGTTTTAAAATGAAACATCATTCAATATTTCTTTTTAAAGAAAAAAATGAAGTCTGACTTTTCAAAATCAAAACTCGAGCCTCTAACATTTGATTTCTTGACAGAAAAGGTGACACTATACCATTTCATTTTTTTTCCTTTTCCCATCTGCCAAACAACAAGATAAAAACAATCTTCTCTATAAACTTTCTAATCAACAGAGTTTTCTTTTTCTAATAAACATCTATTTGATCAAGTGAATTACTTACCAGCTATAAGTGCTGTCTTCGAGGATCCTCCACAGCCCTCAGGATCTTGACACGTCACAACTACATAAAATATCAAGTCCACTTGTCAGCCAATCAATTCTTACACCTAAAATAATCAGTTCTAGCAATGCTTATTAGTACTTACTTTCAGCACAAATCCCTTGAACCGGGTCCCACCGAAATTCACCCTTACAGTAACACCGCCTGAGCCCACCCATTGTCGGGTCGGGCCCACAAGTCGAGTCCCCCTCGCAGTCCGCCTGAGACTTGCACACTGGTTCCCGGGGTAGCATCCACTGGACTGAAACTCCCGGACTAGGCCACCTATTCACTGGCAAATTCGGATTCAGATTAACAAAACTAGTGTAGGCCTTACACCCGGAGTCTCTAACTCGTATTGTATACGCCGTCGTACCGCCACCAGCCCCGAAAGTACAGCAAATCGGAGCATCTTGACACGGAGACTCTGCTCTAGTATTGTTAACATACAAGCGACACAAGCTGTTGGACGAGCAATTCAACGGTGACCGAAGAAGCGAATCCGAACAGTTCAAGAACATGATAGTATTGTCGCCGGTGATGTTGAAAGGGAGAGAGCTGTTCATCTGAATACCTTGGTGAACAAAATCGGATGTGACGCAGGTGTTTGGTAAGAGACTTGCTGGACGTATCACTAGCCGCTGGATTGACGGATTGATAGAAATGATTGGATACGAGTTATTAAGTGTATCAAACATCAGTGCTCCTGCGTCACAACGGATCTTGTACGATTGGTCGCCGCAAGTAGGACTGGTGCTGAATGGGTACGGCACTGGAGTGGAGCCGCAGTTGGGACAGAGAGTGGCGGAGAAAGCGCATATGGCGCACTTTAGCAGAAGCGCCGCCGTGAAGAGGAGTAGGTATGGTTGTGGCTTCATTGTTTTGATTTTTGAGGTCTCCTGGGGAAATTAGGAGTTCTATAACTGTGGAGTTACGCTCGTGTGGAGTGGCCATTTTATATGATTCTTACGTGGCTGTCGCTTTCATATTCTCTTTGACAACGACAAGCAGTTTCTTGTTTTGACTTATGTATTATTCAACTATTTTTAATCAATTGGGAATTTCTTATTGTCCCTTACATAATATTAAGTATAGAGTATATCACATATTAAGAAATGATGACATAAAAACTTAAAATTTTTTTTAAAAAATTTTTTTTATTAATAATTATTTTTATAAAAATTATTATAATCCGCTAACACCTAATAAAAAAAATTATAAAATACAATTGATGATATCACACGCTAATTAAAATTTCTATAAATTGTAAATTAAAATTTTTATCAAACACATATAACGTAACTCTTGAATATAAATCAACATGATTAATTTTGTAACTTTCTTCCACTCAAAAAAAAAAAAAAAAAAATTGTAACTTTCCGTACTCTTGATATAATCACTGATTAATTTTGTAACTTTCCTTCCAACTCAAAAAAAAAAAAAAATCTTGTAACTTTCCTTTTTTAAATTTTTTCTTTTGGGATTTGAAATATATGTTAAAACTTAGTCTGAATCTATGCATTCAAATGTGTTTTGTTTCTTCTCAAGGGCAGTTTATTTTTTTTTTTAAAAAAAAAAAAAAAAAAGGAAATACACTACGTTTTGTGTTTTACTTATCTTTTTTAGCAAAAGAAACAAAAAAATTAATAGGTGAACTATTGAAGGGCAAGCAAAATGCCTCTGCTGATAAAATCATGTTTATTAAGTAATTAGCGGATAACGTTTATATAAATTGTGAGTTTGATATTGTGATAATGATGGGTGTCCTGATCCTTTTCATATGAGCAGCCTATAACCAATAATTCAATAGATGCTTACCTAAATAGATACCCAAATACCCAATATTTAATTGATGACTCAAAGTCAAACCCAAAACTGTACAACGGTCAGAGGGTAGAGATGAATAAATAGACCTATTTAAAATTCTTAAATCAGTTGGATGCACTTAAAAAAACAAAATCAATGAATCAGTAGTAGTTTTGAATTGTCCAAGTAGGATCTTGACAATGCACAGCAATATTTTTTATGCCATTTCATCCAGAAGATCACCCCACCAACTCTTCTTTTTCTTTTAAATAAGTCAAGGGTTATGCCTAACAGACAAGTAAAAAGAAGCTTTAGAGCTCAGAGTTGGTGGGATATTCACATTCATGTCTTACGTTGTCATTAATTAGTGCTAACTTTTGTTAGAAGAAAATTATGGACAGCCTGGATTTCTCGTGTACCATTACAGTGTCCAAGAGCTGACCTTGATTATTCAAAAAAAAAAAAAAAAAAAAAAAAAAAAAAAAGAAGCTGAATAAAAAAAAAAAAAAAAAAAAAAAGAGCTGATTTTGAATAATAAGCATTATCTGAAGGAAAATGCTCCTCTTCCCTGTACAATATAAGTTCATTCACACCTCATATCGTGCTACACAGAAGAATAAATTACATACACTATTATATAACAATAATTAGCTTTCTAAGGCATATGATTACAGTGTTCAAATTCTATTAAAGAAAAAAAATAATATACACAGTGGACCTACATTATGTTGTACATCTCAAGAGCAACATGTAGCTCTTATGAACACTGTTAAATGGACTAACTAGGTGAACCTAAGCCCTGGAAGAATGAGAACAAGCATATGAATATGTATTCAAACTACTGTATTTACATATACATAATAATAATGATAATATATCAATTGGAGAAACATCTAAGCTAACAAAACTGTGCCAAGGCTTGTATAAGTCAGCTACTCAAGCAGGCAATTCGGCCAAAAGTAGGGTATGCCACCAGCCACAAGCTATATTTCTAGGGACACAACCTTCTATAGTAACTGGAGAAGGAATGTTGCGGTCAATCACATCCCCTAAACCAAGCTGCCACACACACCCAGATGTAGATTTTCAGTTTCATAGAATCATCACTACCAGATACCGCAATTTTACAATACAAGGAATTCCAAGTCCAGAAAAATGTAGAATGGAGGGGATGAGCTTGCTCCGGTTTGCCCTATCCCAAATCTTTACCAACTTTGAATATATATTTTCTCATATTAAAATGCGAAAACTTGTTTACTTTTGGAGATATTGCCTAATGATATCCAAAATTTAATATTTGCAATTGTGTCATTCAATGACACAGTATAAAAATATACTTTTCTTATAGTTCATACATATAATTACGAGAGGTAGGAATTGTTTTTATATGAAATGTAATGGATAAAAATGAAACTAATCCAAATTTAACAATTAGTATAGGTTAGCATAATACCTGGCCATACTTGTTCCACCCCCAGCAAAATACTTCCCCATCCTCTTCAAGAAAAAAAAAGCAGAAAGTTACCATCAATTTCTCTTAATGCTAAAAGCCAAACATAATTCCAAAGTTAAATATTAAGTGGAAATAATAATAATAAAGGCCAAAAATTGCAATAAGACGACATGTTTGTTAGTTTAGGGTAAGAAAGAAACGGAAACCTTCTTGAATGTAGTTTAAGTACCTGTTACCATAGCAGTATGACGAGCCCCGCAAGAGAGAATTTTTGCATTTTTATCTTCCAAGCTTGGAGCATCCAAGAGTCTAGGTATAGTCTGAAAAATCCAGTAAAATTGGAAGTTAATTGCAAAAACTTTACATGGTGAAAAACATTTTGTTAACATGAGGGTTATGGTGAAGCCTCAGATTTCAGTTGTTTCCAGTAAAGAGCAGAATCAACAATAGCAAAATGCATTAATCTTTCAACTCAAACACCAGTAGCTTTGAAGCAGTGATAATAACATAGGGTAAAAGTTTTTATGACCCTAAACGTACTAATTCAGCAATCCGGTTATCATAGTAACAGTCTTTTCCAGCATTCTGTTGTCAACATTTAATATCACTTCTTCCCATTCTTTCATCTTATAAGCGCACATCCGCACGTCATCGTATGATGGTACAAAAAACATATTACCCTAATTGAGGAAAATGCATTATTGCTGTACCTCTGCTTGATCACCACCAGTTCCCAATTGCCCAAACTGATTCCCACCAAATGCATAGACATCGCCATCTGCAGAAACACAAACAGTGTGCCACAATCCTGCAGCAACACCCTTTATCCGTATGCCCAGCAATGAAGATACACAAGTTGGGCTCAGCTCGTCGTCTGTACTCCCTTTTCCACACTTGATAAAAGAATGTAATAAAACAATTTTATTCCTTACTTTATGAAGACTAAAATATGCAAGACTGAAATTAATTACAAGAAAAGCAGATAAGCATTATAAATGAAATAAAGTAACAGGTTATCCCTTGTTAGATGAACTTCATCTTCAAGATCTACAGTGCTTTATTCTCCATCATTATCTACTTTACCTACATATCAATCCTGAACAACAGTTAACACCCGAAACTCCAACCAGTGTTATTAAAGGATAGAAAGATCAAAAATTTGAACAAGCAGTTAATGTTGAAGTCTATAGCTTCAAAATGTCTTGAAAAAGTAGAAGACTCCAATGCCAACAACAGGCAAAATGGTGATTAAATCAATAGTGTTATTAAGACATTATTATTGGTGTTTACTACAACAAGCAAGTAATGGTTCATTTAGGTGGCAAATAATCATCATTTAAGGAATTCTTTGAGTGAGTTTTTGATGCAGAGAAGCAGCTCAAGAAAGACAAAGTTTAACACTTGAATACATATTAATGGTCTAGAATTCTTATGGGGCTAGTCCTATATTTACTTTTGTCTTACTCAAGTAGTTGCTAGTGAGAAAGTTTGTACTTCTATTTCAAGACTCAGGGATAATCTTGTAATTTTAATTTTTCTGGAAAAGGTTGGCCGGATCTCTTAGGGTTTATTTGAGTAATACTAAGAGCTTTCATTGGTTTAAGAGAATATAATCGTTTTTGTCTATGGTGGTCCAAAATCTCGAGAGGAATTGAACTAACTTTAAGAGTTTACTTGTCGTTAAGGTTCAGGTCATTTTGAATCTAAATTCTATGCTCATAATGCTTTGTCAATAAGTTTTCATTGAATAAGATTCCAGTTATTGTTACTTCGTGGATTGTGTAATAATGCCTATAAATTCTAGGAAAAATGCCAAAGGGATTCAAAGTGTAAGGCTTAGAATTTCATATTTTTCTCTCTCTCTTTTTTTTTTTTTTTTTCCGGAAAATGCCAAAGGGAATTCAAAGTGTAAAGGCTTAGAATTCATATTTCTCTCTCCTCTTTTTTTTTTTTTTTTTTCCACTTGAAGCCAGGTCAAAATTCCTGAATATAATTGAAGACTTCAGCCACCTTTTTTTTTTTTTTTTTTCCACTGAAGCCAGGTCAAAATTCTGAATATAATTGAAGACTTCAGCCACCCAAGGTCAGTCTCAGTCATCCCTTTAAGTTTCTACTCATGTCTATTTTTCAAATGGACTCGCAACCATTCCTAAATGATTAAAACTGCAAGTTGACCTATCTGCATCAGAACTTTAATAAATATGCATAAATAGGGTCTAACGGATGGAGGACAATCTCAAAGCCAGGATAGGCTGGACAGCAGATAAACAGACAATAGCATATCACGGGGAGATGGATGATAGGAATATTTTAGTATCCCATTTAATTGCTATTTTAGGTGATATTTGCTTAGATACTGATATAAAAATTCTGAAATTCAAAGAAGACCAAGGGTCCAATCCAATGGAGATTTTGATGAAGAAATATACTTTACAGGGGAGGTTAACTGAAAACTGATCCTGTCATGCTCTAGAATAACCTAGCAGAACCCATAAACAGAGACCTGTGATTATTTAATTTGGGTAAAATGACTAAAGACCTAGATGGACTCAAATAAATAACAGTATCTGACATCTGACTCTTTTATAATGAAATGGAACAAATGGATTCATGTAAGTGTAACTATGCCTAGGTATCAGAAACGTAAGAACAAGACTGCATTAAGTTTGTCAACATTTTATCGCTCTGAAGAACAAGGTTTTGAAGGCAACAATGGAAGTTATTGGAAACTAGCAAACTGCAAGAATATCAGAAGATGCATCCATAGTTGACTTTCTTAAGTTATTCAGAATATTGAAGGACACATATTTGAGCAGTTTTACAGCAGTATGGCAGCTGTAAAATGTGACCTATGTTTCCTTCCAACTGTCTAATATAATTAGGAAAATTACAACTTAAAAAAAGGACAGGTATCTTTGGTGTTGAAGATTTTACCATAATAAACAAAGGTAACATGTCTAAGTAAACTATCAAAATCTTTTTCTGGTAGCAGTATTTCATAATTATAGCACCCTTTCTGAAATGTCAGTTAAATATGCTCGCAAAGGGCTTGTCTACACCACAAAACATGCATATGAGCTTAAACAGGCCTTAAATAAACAGAAGAAAATAGTATACAATGATGCTTCTACAAATACCATTATGGATGTTGATGCAGTACAAGAACAGAATCAAGATTAACAATAAGACAATGAATGAAGGTCTAGCATAATAGATTTAACTCATTAATCAAGTACCATGTTAATTGAAAACATAATAGGACATTTGGCATATGTTGAACTCAGAGACAAGAATAATAACTTCCTCAAATGAACAAATGTATGTATATACTTGTGCGTGTGCAAGAAATTTTACTTCATGGAAAGAAGAGATCATAAGTTACTGCAAAAATTCTAGCAGACCAGAGTACCTGTCCATAGAGTCCCCAGCCAAAAGTAAGGAGTGCCCCTGCATCTGTTAATGCAAGAACATTATGAGAAAATAAAATATGTCAACATAAGCAGGAGGGAAAACAGTATACAGTTAACTAGACATTCCAGTTTAACCACTTAATATAAAAGAACCCCAGACCAGACTTAGGTCAAACTCCTAAATCATTTTTTCATACTTATGAATACATTTAAATTAAACAAGAGGGCAATGATCTTAAATTAGGTCTTTGCTTCTATCTAGTAAAGTAGGTTACTTTATTAGATGCTTACCTGTGATTACTGCACTGTGTCGCCCTCCACAAGCAATCCCCTTCACATAACTTCCAGGAATTCTAAGACTATGTCCCTCCAAAGTCATGCCTCCATGAGAAAGTGCTCCAGGTCTATCTTTTCCATAAGAAGAGTCAATACACGGTATGGGATGTGGAGAGGACACCATGCGTATCCGGGAGCCTAAACCGAGTTGCCCTTCGCCTCCATAGCCCCAACCCCACACCTGTCCTATATCTGAAACTTTGGTAAAATTAGGGAACATTAAGTTTCTTGCTTTACATAAAAGATCCACCATAACTTCAAGCTTCATACTGCACTTATTGCAGAGTGGACTACACAACAAAACTCTGGGTCCCTTCCACGATGAAACTTACCTGACAATGCTAAAGTGTGGCGACCACCAGCAGCTACAGAAGCAATTCTTACTCCTGGATTCAATGTTACTAGACACGGGAAAGCTGAGAGTGTCTCGTCAGCAGAAGATGAGCTTTCAGCTATTTGTTTCACAGATGAAACTCTCCTGCGCTTTGTACTTTCATCTCCACCTCCTCTGCTATCAATTCCACCACTAGATCTCGAACCTTGAGAGCGAGGGCTCACTGCAAAAAGTCGATATTCATGCTCAGTCAAATCAATAACCAGTTAAATATATTTAAAAAAAAGACAAACTGAGACTACCTTGCTCTGTTAAAAATGGACTCTGTCTTTCAAACACATCCTTTTCTAGCTCTCCCACTGCAGATGGGTCACCAAAGACCTTCCCTGATGGAACACACTCTTTCCAGCCCCATGTATAAACTTCTCCGCTATCTGTGCTTAAGAAATCAAAAGCTGCTCAGTCTACCAGTTTACGAAGAGTCATTTTTACCTAAGAAGATATAGGACATAGATAAAATAGATTAGTCAATACCAACTAATCATGTTTAATCTATGCCCTGACATATACAATGAGGAGATGAGCATTACCTGTAGCTGCTACACAATGGGCCCAACCAGATGCAGCTTTTACAATGGTAGCTTCAGTTGGGAGAGGGAAAGGCTCAGGAATTTCCTTAACATTAAAATTAAAAGGCAAATACAGGTTAGTTCTAAAGATGCAAAATAGCTAACAATAAAAGATGGATATAAAATAAAGTCTACTATATTGCTATACTACCCCATGTTTCCCGGATGTCACATAGCTTTGACCTAAATCGTCTGTTGAACCCCAAGTAATGAGCTTTCCAGACTCTGATTAAAAAAGAAGCATGAGTAAAAACACTTATAGTTCCAAATCAATGTTTTGTTTTTTTTTTTTTTTTTTTTGAAGCATGAGTAAAAAACACTTTATAGTTCCAAATCAATGGGTTTTGTTTTTTTTTTTTTTTTTTTTTTTTTTTGGGGGGGGGGGGGGGGGGAAGGAGAGAAGAGAGTAGAAATCAATTGACTGAAATAGTAGACAGAAGGGGGGGGGGGGGGGGGAGGAGAGAGAGAGAGAAATCAATTGACTGAATAAGTAGACAGATAGTTTAATTAACATTAAAGAGATCCAAGAAAAAACAACCTTCATTTATATGCATAATCCTATATTCAACAGCCAATCCGAAACTTCATATGAGAGGAAACCAAGTAGGTTTAAGGCCAGTGACAACAAAATTAGAGGAAAATAGAAAAGGAGTAATAGCGAGCAGAGAGTTACAGTACATATTAATATAACCCTACTCCCAAACCAAATAGAGTTCAATGTTAACATTAAAAACCGCTTTGTTCAAATTCATTTCACCCAAAATCAAATAACGAAATCTATTAATCTTAAATTTCAAGAACAAACAGCATAGTAAATATCACTAATTTGAACCCAACAAAACAAAACCATTACTGAGTTTAGTATTTGCTATTTTTCAGCAGAGCTCAACAAACCAGCTCCAAACACATCACTCAAAATCTTAAATTTTATCCAAAACCAAAATTTCTCGTTAACAAAACAGTAAAATTAATATGTTTAGGCGGAGGACAAAAAGAAAAGAAAAGAAAAGAAAAGGCTCCTGTTCCATTAAACAAACAATCACATTTGCCCAATGAAGGGGCTCAAACGCACGAAATCACAAAAAGAAAATATATTGAGAAAAAAAAAATTAAATACAACTAAATCGAAATGTAGAACAAAAAAAAAAAAATTAAAAAGCGATATAATAAAAAACCAAAATAAAGTAGTAGTACCAGAAATAGCCATGGCGAATCCACAACCGCCGCCGCAAACGTCCTTCCAAGTGTACCCATCGGCTCGCACAACCACCGGCGACAAAATCGGCGACCTTTGCGGCAAAGCTCCCGGGAGATATCCCCACATAAAGACTAACCTTTCCTTTACCATTTCTTCCATTGCGAGTCTCTTCTCTCCCCCCTTTCCATCCCCATTCATGTCTATAAGACTATAACAGAGCAGAAAGGAAAAAGAAAAGAAAGGAAAGGAAAAACCAAATTAGTTGGCTTCGTGACTTGTTTTTTTGTGCGTGTGCGGGAGTTTGGTGGAATCGAAATTTGGAAAGTGAGCAATAAAAGGAGAGCGTATCATTTTCAAGAAAATGAGGACGCCACGTCGGATGCTCACGTGGGAGGGTAAAACACGTGGACGAATTCTGACCGGTAGATGTCTCGGTGAATTCTAGCCAGGAGTTCCCCAGAAGTTTCTGGAAAGTCGCCCCAAAATACTAGAAATAGGTAAGGAAATATTCGCTTGGTAGATGTCGTGGACGTTTTGCTGGATGCCACATGGTTAATTCCGTATGCAACTCCAATCATTAACATTGCCACGTGTCAGCTAGATTGGGGTGTGAGAGGTAGTGAAAGTGTCATGACTTGTCTGTTTGTGGGCCCATTTTGTTTTCATCCTTAGGGTTTTGGGGTTTACTTTTATCTTGTACATGTGAAAGGGGGAATAGCCTTTTACTTCTTTAAGGTTTAATCACATGAAGCAGTTTTAATAACTTCGACTATGTTTCAATGCAATTGTGTGTATGAAAGTTAAATGCCTTTGCTTGTTTTTACTCTTAACATTATTTTGAAAATTTAGAACTTTAATTTATTTATCGAAATCAAAAAGTTCATATTTGATATTATCAGCAAATTTAATTTTTAAAATTTATTTAAAGTGATTAAAAAAATTATATTTTATATTTTGGATCAATTTTACTTATGAACTTGTTTAGAATGATTTAATATTTTTGTCGATTTAATCGTTGATTCTTCACCTTTTTTACATGCATTTAAGACTATAGTTGGAATCCAACTATATAATATATTAAAAAAATAATTAAATATGAAATCGAGAAAAATAATATATGAAGTATATTGTATCACTCTTTGCCTTGACATTTATTACTATGTTATTGCATATGAAATCCATATATTTTTTTTATGTTGAATAAATTAAACATATATTTTAGAATAAATAATATTTTCATAAATTTTAAACTTTTATTTAAAAGTGTTGGAAAAGTTTGATATGGTATTTTAAAATAAATTGTAAATCCTGTTAAATTGAATTAATTTTTTAATTTGTAAAAATTTTAAAACAAGTTCAGATGTTAAATTAACCTATAATTACATTCTTTAACGTGAAATAGACTTTATAATTTTTCATTCCAGTATTTTCTTTCTCTCCTTTTTAAACAAACTTTCGCATGAGAAATCTTTAAATGGAAGTTTTGTAAACTTTACTCAAATACTCAAATATCAATAGATTTAAAAATTCAAATTCAATCTTAATATTTATGTGAGAGTAATTAATAGATCATAAGAAAATTATAAACTTTCTTTAAACAAATGAAATTAAGAGATTGAAATGATTTTTATTTTTAGAAATTAAGGAGTGGTTCAATAATCATTATTCTACAAATATTTCACAATTGTTGTTTTCCAAAAAAAATAAATTCACAATTGCTTAAGGTGCAAACATAATTATGAGACATGATTATTGGACAACAACAACTATGATTGACATTTTTTTTTCTTATGATTGACAATTTTAGCGATAGACAATTACACAAAATTAATTTTTTTTTTTTAATTTTAAAACAACACAATTAAATTTTTTAAAGTTTAAAGTTAAATATAACAATATATTCAAGTCTCTTAAATACGAGATGGAGGGTTTAATCATTATAGATGGAAAAAGTTTATGTTGAAAATATTTCCTTTCCTCCTTAAAAATCCGATCCAACACAAATAAAATTAACCGCAGTTAAAATAATTCAATTACTCAAACTCAACTCAGGTTTGATTTGATAAAAACTCAATCGAAACTCATTCATTAATAAAAACAAATTAGACTAACATGAATTAAAGTTCAATTACTTTTCATAAACAAGTTTGATCATCTATACAGTTGACTCAAAAATAATTCAAAATAAAATAAACATATTATTAATAGACCAAGTATATGTAAAAATAAATAAATAAATAAAGTTGCGTTTTTGCTTTTCAATTTTTAGTTTGATAACTATATAAATTAATTAAATTTATTTTTAAATTTAAAATAACTAATTTAGTTTAAAATAACTTAATTCAAACGGAATCAAACTCATTTAATATAATTTAAATAGTTTATTTTACTATTTGATTATGAATTCAAATATTATAAAAATATATTCGAATCGATCCAAACTAAGCTAATTTGACTCGCTCAACGTGATACTAACTCCTACTCTCCATGATACCAATGGCTCACAAAGAGGCCCAACAAGTGAATTGGACATGCTTGAAATTGAAAAATTAACGTAAACGGGTGAAAATAGTACTTTCACACTCCACTGGCAATAAACCGAATTAACTGTCAACCACTAAATTTTAAGTGGTGTCCATAGTACGGATCCGTAAAGCCACAAATTAGGGCTCATGTTCTTCAAAAGCCCTAACATTTGGGCCTCAAATCATGAAAGTTTTGGCCCCTAATAAACGTGTCCCTATTTTTAATCATTTGATGGCAAAACCTTGTTTCAGATGAGCCATCGTGTGGCTGAAATTAAACCTCATATGATTGTACGTGAGAGGACCCACGATTGGATAGTTGATCTTGATTGGATTTTGATCATGTGGCTTGTAGGAGATGTCCAATGATTGTGGGTTAAGGGTTCCATTATTTAAGGGTAATTCATACATTTAGAGGCTATTGTGTTATGAAGATAAAAGGCTCACTTGGTGATTTGGAAGTAGAGAATGTGGGCAGATTTGAGACACACAATGCAAATTCAATTGTACATATATTCAAAATTTTTTTTATAAAAATATGAAAATTCATGGATTATTATTAATGGATTGTAAAATTTATTTAATTTCATATTGCATCACTTTGTTAGAAAATAAAGTTTATAAATTTGAATTAGGACAAATTTGAGAATTGAGTGATTTATATTCCATCAATAATAAAAAAAAAGGATGAAATTTATCAATTTTTCATGAACAATTATTTATTTTTACAAAAATAAATAAATAAATTTGACAAAATCATAGAATTATTCAATTGAATATTAAACTTAGCTATTTGAAGTTTGAGACTAGAATGCTCTCCAGAAAAATCAAATCTTAATTGATATGGAATTGGAACTCTCATTTTTACCAACTAAATTTCTCTCTTTGGTTTCCTTTTTTTTTTTTTTTTTTTTTTTTTTTTTTTTTTTTTTAAATCTTCTCTTTGGTTTTTCCTTTTTTTTTTTTTTTTTTTTTTTTTTTTTTTTTTTTTTTTTTTTTTTTTTTTTTTTTGGCTTTGATTATTCAATTTATGAACAAAATAGTAACTTTGTGATTGATTATTGAATTGATAATTTAGGCTTCGGTTGTTTCAATAAATATTTTTTAGAATAATCTTTTTGAATTTTCTTATCTTTGAAATGATCAAAAGAAAAATTAAGTTATTTACTTTTATTTTTTTCAAATATTTATAAATTTATTATAACAAAATAATACTATAAAAAATACATCTATTGATTCATTAATCACCAGTACTTATCGTTACCAATTATGGCAACAAAAATAAATCACCAGTACTTATCGTTATAATTGATTATCACAATTACCAAAACTTGAATTATATATTCCTTTCACATTTTTTAACAATAAATTTTTAAATATGAAATTTTTATAATCCAAAAATATATTTTTAATTTTACAAATTTAAAATTTTTTTATTTTTTATTTTCAATATAATAAAAGATAACTAGAAAATATTTTAATAATATCTTTTTTAGGCGTGACCATAGTTCCAAAATCACTGGTTTCGACTTCAAAACTGCCATTTCCAGTTATTAAAAGTTAGAACCGAACTAAACTGCTTTTAGACGGTTTTCAAATCGCCAGTTTCGATTTTTTTTTTTAATTTTGAACCATAATATATTTTAAAATTTTTAAAATATATTTTTTAAGATTTGTAGCTTGAATAAATAATAATAATAAATATTACTATGAAAAAAAACTAAACCAATTTAACAAAAATTCTTAAAATTACTTTAAAAAACTATAATAAAACAAAGAATTTTTTAAGAACATGTTTTTCATGGTTTTAAACAATAACTGCCGGTTTTAAACCAAAACCGTCAGTTTCGGTTTCAAAAAATGAAAAATCGGAATTAAACTTTAAATTCACGGTTTGCAGTAACATTGTTTAATGCCGTGATCATCCCTATTTTTAATTTACAAGTAAATAAACTTAGTATTAATAAACTAACATTTCACAAATAGTACATATATTAACTAACTACCTTATATAATACTAATATTATATATATATATACACACACACACGCACCCTAGGTGCTCTTTATTTTCTCCCTCTTCTTCATTAAAATTCTTCTTTTTCTCCATCAAAACACAAGAATCAAATATGTAAATATGGAGTTGCAGTATGTTTCTCAATTGAATTTTTATTATTGAAATCATTTGTGTTCATCATAAGCAAATAGTTCATGAATAACTAGGTCATATATAAAAGATTCAGAGTTTATCTAGCTAATCATTTTGAAGGTCTATGATGTTTTCAAATTCACCATTTTTTTATTAGTATTTCTTATTAGACCATCGAATTCTACCATGTTATTTTAATTATAATAATTTTATTTAATATTTGGTCATTGTCACCGCTTAATTGTTTATATTGATTTATTTAATGAAATCTTAATATATTATGTTCAAAAAACAAAGTTGAATTTAAGTTTAGGCCTCTAATTTTTTGTATTAACCTAGATAAACCTATATCTTTTCACATTTGTGTTTGGTTTGAAAAATAACTTGCCTTTTTAAAAGATATCATCAATATAAGTAATCCTAAGTTCGTAACATACTTGCACTCGTAATAGGATTCAGTAAGAACACGTATCACCGGCCATCATGTGGCTAAGGTGACATCTCTATGATTGCATGTGGCGGACCCTACAGTTTGGGTAGGTGGTCATAGTACTACTGGTGATCATGTGGCTTGTAGGATACATCAAATGATAGGTAAGAGTTATGGTAATCCATTTATTTATTGGTTCAACAGATTGGGCCATCCATT